GTTGAATGAGTGAATAATTTATTTATTTATTTCTCTCACAACATATTAGGAAAAATATTTCGTATAATATATCTGTTAAACTTAGATTAGCATTGTGAAAGCTGGTGCCTATTGTAGATTTTAAGAAAATCTGTATTACAGATTTTGATGATGATGATGATTATGAATCCGATCAGAGCCAATGTCGTGATTCGCTCGCTTGTTTGTTTGCTGTTAGTTTTGTTTTGTTGTGGTGGCGAGTTTTCAAGTGCTTTGTTTTGAATTTGGTAAGTTTTATCTCGTTTTATGTCGTTATAACATAAGAGCGGGTAGTAAACATAAATAAAAATATTCAATATGACTGATAAAAGTATAATCAAGTTTAATCTAACCTTTAAATTTTTTTTTGGTTCGCAAATGCTATACGTAAACAAACATTAGCTAGGTAGTTAGTAATGACTATAGTCCATTTCATGGTGATAATATTATGAATTCAGAGTTTCAAAGTTCATTTTAGTATTTATCACCAAGGTATCCAAGTGGCAAGTACCTACAGTAGATACTAACTTACGTACTACCAATTTTGTTTTGAGAAATTATTAAGGTAAAAGACCCGACCATGGGACGGGTTATGTAGATTTCCTGAATAAAACGAGTAATTAAAAAATCTAGACTACAAATCCTTATTTTTCTTTTTTAATACATAATTTAATACCTTTAGTGTAAGAAGGCGCTTTATAAGTTAAATTTTAATGCAATTTAAATTCAAATTCAATTTTTTTATTGCATATTACACATTTTAAAGAGAAAACAATAAAGACTGACTGATTAAAATAACGTTTTCTTTATTTTTCCCTCAAAATTATAAGCCTTTTAAGGAAGTTTCGGTTTCGGTTTCGGTTTCGGCCGAAATAGACACCGTTGCCGAAATTCGTTTTCGGTTTCGGCTTCGGTCGTAAAACTAGTTTCGGTCGGACACTAATTTAGATACAGTCCACTTGTTCTTTGCTCCCCTTTTGCCCCCTTAACTATGATTTAACGTATAATTACGCTCATCCAGTATGTATGTGTGTATATTTCTTTGGCACGGTCTACAGTCTTCAAGATAGGGTAGAAGAAGATGAAAAAAAAATTCATCCCCACTTTGCATGTAGGTGAGCTACCCTAAAAAAATTTTTTTATCAAAATTTTATTTTACCGTTTTGTCGGCGTGATTAATATACATTATACATACCTCCACAAAATTACAGCTCTCTTGTGCCAATAGTTTCCAAGCAAAACCTCAGACAGACAGACGGACATAACGTAACTATAAGGATTCCTTGTCAGGACTACGGAACCCTAAAAATGACCTGATGATGACGAAAAAGAGCTTATCTATGAGCTTTAGTGTTCGGGATGACGATGATTCACCTTTATTCGACCTAGGCGCGTCAATGACATTCCTGATGAAGGCGATGAACTCATCTATGTCTCTCCTCAAGTCGGTCAGCAGATTGATGCCTTCTTCAGGCGTCGAGCACAGTTTGAAGTTCGCTGAGGCCACCTGAAATAATTTGAATTTGGAACCTGGTGATAAGGTCGAAAACCATCAATATTTTAGCGCTTAGCTCAGTGAGGGGCGATTTTGACATAATAATATTATGACGTGACAGAGTATACAATCTGAAGTCTCGCTGACATTTGACGTAACAACCACAGAAGCTCCCATACCTCAGAGACTGTCTGATTGAGTTAAGGTCATACCACACTTTTTTTTTATGCATAGCAAGGCAGGTATTTGACCACAATCGCACCTGATGTTAAGTGGGATGCAGTCTAGGATGGTACATATCTGCCCTGTAAGTACCTATTCACTCTCGCCTTGAAGAGGCCCGTATTATAGTTTTCGGGAAAGACAGCAGCAGGCAACGAATTCCAGTCCCTAGCAGTTCGCATTATAAAAGAGTCATCGAAACGCTTAGTGCGAGCTGGTGGAATGTCAACAACATAGGGATGGTACGCTAACCTGCGTCTGGTTCCCCGATGATGGAAGGGGGCTGGTGGAATTAATTCATGTAATTCTTTCGCACATTCTCCGAAGTGTAGCCTGTAGAAAACCGATAGGGATGCTACCTTACGGCGATGTTCAAGTTCCTAGAGCGCCGCTTCTACAAGGGTGGGGCTGTCGATAAGTCTTCTGGCACGCCTTTCCACCGAATCCAAAGCAGCCAAATGTTTCTTGGCAGAGCCGTCCCAGAGGTGGCAGCAGTATTCCATGCAAGGTCGGATCTGTGCTTTATAAAGCTGCAGCCTTTGCTTCTTGGAGAAGTAATAATAATAATAATAATTCTTTATTTCTCACCATAGAACACAAATATTAACAATTATAATTGTAGGTATATACAAAATGCAACTATAGCTATGGTGGGTTGACACCTGAACTAGGATGAATCCTGTATCTCAGGTTATCAACCCTCCACCCCATAAAATGGTCTTATGTTAAGCCAATTACAATATCCGATAAAAATTTAAAGAATTTACAATAATTGAATTTAAGAGGTAGATAACAAAAACGTCCGCAACCGGGCGTCCAGGTAAGTGGTGTATTCGAAAGTTAGTGTGTGGTACAAGTTATGGGTTGCTGACTATTTAACAATAAGTTGCTTAAGTAACAAATCAATGCACTTACTAACTAATAAACCTATGGTATATTGTGTTGTGTGGTTTTGTTGCGTTGGAATGTGTAGTGTGTGGTATGGTTTGTAAATGTAAAATAAATTATTGTTATAAAGATGTTTGTGACTAACAAGCGTTTGATGTGTGGATGTATTATGTCGGTTATGTGTCGTGAATTTATGTGGTGTAGTGTGTTTAGTGACAGTGTGTGATGTTGTGTGCATGAAAGAAAAGGATTTAATTTCATGGTAAGGGAAAAATATATTAAAATAACAATTACTGCAAAAGTAAGGAATATGTCAACCTGTTTAGGCAATCATTTTAAGTATATTTTCTGTTGCGTCATAACTAAGAGAAGTAAGAATATGTTTTAATTTTACCTTTAGACTCGTTCTGTTCATTTTATAAATTTGGTTTGTGTCACTAAAGTGTCTATACAGGGATGGTCCAGTATAGAATAGTTGTCGTCGTGCGAATATGGAGTTGAAAATAGTACTGCCTTGCCCTCGAGAGGATACCAAGGGAGAAGAGGATACCAACTTATCAACCCGGTAAGGGATCGTAACCGTATCAACTCGAGGCGGTCAATATTCTTTGTATGAAAATCCATACTGAAACGCGCACATCCGCACCGTAACGTAAACGCCTCGCCTTACAGTTGACAGCGCGCGAAAGGCGATATACAGTACCTTTCCGAGTTGTATGTCAGTCTTACTCAGTCAGTCAGTCAGTGCCAGAGGTATAGATGACCCACGCTGAACTGTCCCACCAAACTCAATGACAGGGGGGCGCTACCATCGTTCAACTACATGGTTTCCAACATGGTAAAAATCGAAACCAGCGATCCGGTATTGACGGTGGCGCCCCACTGTCAATGTCATGCATAGGACAGTTCAGTATTTTGGAACTATATAGGAGCGGCACGGGAGGATGTTTTATGTTACGTCACATGTCAGCAAAACTTCAGATTTATATGCTCTGTCACGTTATTATATGTCAAAATCACCCCTCCCGTGCCACTTATAATACAGGATGGATTTTTCATGATCATTTAAATATATTGATAGATTTTCGACATTATTATAATAAGGGTTCAAATTATGGTGGCAAAGTAAAGTTACATTAGCCACATGTTAATTCAAATTATAATGGAAAAGTTAACATAATTTACCTGCTTTAGAAATAAAAGATAAAACGACTTTCAACCTTAAGCTAAGCGAATAAGCTTCAAATTACTTACTTTAGTCGGAGGTGGTTCGAGTGACAGCAGCAGGTCAGTGTACAAACGTATTAGTTCCCCCAAAGGCGTGTCAGCTTTCAGTACGTTGGTTAGCCATTCCACCTGTAGAATACATAGGAAATTATACCTTATACAGTGGGAATAAGAATAGAATTAAGTGTAAAAATCTTCCTCGGAAATCTAACAGACATTTTATACTTATTCTATTTAAAAAAAACCGTATCAAAAACGTTGCGTAGTTTTAAATATCTAAGCATACATAGGCGGAAAGCGACTTTGTTTTATACTATGTACATATAGTCTGGTCCGTGAGCACGTAGAATTTTGTCCAATGACCCCAAGCTACACATCCTTATCGCTCGCGCGTAATTATGTTGCAATCGCGCTCGCACACTCACTGCGGGCGCCCGGCGCACAGTCGCGACAGCAATATAATTACGCGCGAGCGATAAGGATGGGTAGCTTGGGGTCATTGGACAAAATTCTACGTGCTCGGCGACCAGACTATACTCGCCTGCTTGTTAGCGTCTGCGGCGAGTAAATGTGTGAGCGCCGGCGAGCTGTGTGCCTCGAGCCGCCGCCAGCCCGCCGCCAGCCGCGCCGCCGCCGCTCGCGCCAGCAGCGCCGGGCCGGGCCGCCGGGACACGCCGGGGAGTGGCCACGGGCACAAGGGCGGGAGGGGGAGAGAGATAGGAAGATAGGGGGAGATAAAGAGGGAGAAAGAGAAAGAGAGAGAAGTGTCATACTACTTATGTGTCTATTAGAGCGAAAGAGAGAGGGGGAGAGAAACAGAGACAGATAAAGAGAGAGGAGTGTCTTACTACTTGTGTCTAAGAGCGAAAGAGAGAGAGGGGGAGAGAGAGGGAGAGAGGGAGAAAGAAAGAAAGAGGAGTGTCTTACTACTTATGTGTCTATAAATTACTATTTAAGCCAAGTAGCTGAGGGAGAGAGAGGAAGAGAGAGAGAGAGAGAGAGAGAGAAAGAAAGAGAGAAAGAGACGAGTGTCTTACTATTTATGTGTCTAAAAGAGTATCTTAGACACTGTCTATAAGGTGCTTGCTAGAAGTGTCTCCAAAGTACTCTGTTAGCCACTCGCCTGCTTGTTAGCGTCTGCAGTCATGATAGCTGCTCCTTGGACATTAAAGCCACTCCAGTTAAGGTCAGGTAAGGCCACTCAGGGCCACTCGCCTACTAGAAGTGTCTCTAAAGTACTCTATAAGGCCACTCGCCTGCTTGCTACTAGCGAGGGGGAGAGAGAAAGAGGTAGAAAGAGATAGAGAGAGACAGTGTGAGAAAGACACTCCTCAGGGCCACTCGACTCGACTTAAGTGTCTGTAAGGTTACTCTATTAGATGCTAGACCGACTCTAAAAGGCCACTCGCCTGCTTGTTAGCGTCTGCGGCCAGCAAATGTGTCAATGCCGGTGAGCTGTGCGCATCGAGCCGCCGCCAGCCCGCCGCCAGCCGCGCCGCCGCCGCTCGCGCCAGCAGCGCCGGGCCGGGCCGCCGGGACACGCCGGGGAGTGGCACGAGCACACGGGCGGGAGGGGGAGAGGGAGGGAGAGAAAAGAGACGAGTGTCTTACTATGACTATGATAAGACGACGAGCACAAGAGTGAAAGAGACTGAGGGGGAGAAAGAGAGGGATAGAGAGAGAGAAAGAGAGACGAGTGTCTTACTACTACTATTAACCCACTCTATAGGGCTAAAGCCCGGTCTCCGAGCACGTAGAACTTTGTCCAATGACCCCAAGCTACCCGTCCATAGCGCTCGCGCGTAATTATGTTGCTGTTGCGCTCGCACACCCGGGCGCCCGTCGCACAGTCGCGACAGCAATATAATTGGCGAGGGATAAGGATGGGCAGCTTGGGGTCATTGGATAAAATTCTACGTGCTCGGCAACCAGACTATACTCGCCTGCTTGTTAGCGTCTGCGGCGAGTAAATGTGTGAGCGCCGGCGAGCTGTGTGCATCGAGCCGCCGCCAGCCCGCCGCCAGCCGCGCCGCCGCCGCTCGTTCCATGGACCCCCGGGAGAGAAAGAGAGATGGGGAGAGAGAGAGAGGGAGAAAGATGAAGAGGGAGAGAAAAGAGACGAGTGTCTTACTATGATACGACGACGAGCATAAGAGCGAAAGAGAGAGAGGGAGAAAGAGAGAGAGAGAAAGAGGGAGAAAGAGACAGAGAGAGAGAAAGAGAGACCAGTGTCTTACTACTACTATTAACCTACTCTATAGGGCTAAAGTCCGGTCTCGGAGCACGTAGAATTTTGTCCAATGACCCCAAGCTACCCATCCATAGCGCTCTCGCGTAATTATGTCGCTGTTGCGCTCGCACACTCACTGCGGGCGCCCGTCGCACAGTCGCGACAGCAATATAATTACGCGCGAGCGATAAGGATGGGTAGCTTGGGGTCATTGGACAAAATTCCACGTGCTCGGCAACCAGACTATACTCGCCTGCTTGTTAGCGTCTGCAGCCAGCAAATGTGTGAGCGCCGGCGAGCTGTGTGCATCGAGCCGCCGCCAGCCCGCCGCCAGCCGCGCCGCCGCCGCTCTCCGCCAGCAGCGCCGAGCCGGGGCGCCGCGAGACATACCAGTTAGAAGGGACACGTAGACGGAGGTGCGGTCTGCGGGTAGACGAAGAAAAAAATCAATAAAAGTCCATCTTTGTTCTGAAAATAGGCTTCTAAAAAGCGCTTTTACAAGGCAATACGATGGCATCAAAACCTGTTCGATTTCCCCTACAATAGTAAAGGCTTCCACAGACCAAACGCGGGTCAGAAGCAGTGCGGGTCAGTTGCAGCGCGGCTGAGGCACACTGAACGCAGCGCAGTTTTAAAGCAGTTGCAACGCGGGCGGTTGTCAAAAATTTAAATATTCGAAAACCACTTTCAACGCACTGCTACCGCCCTGCGTCCGGTGTGTCATGCTAATATGGCCGCCATAGTAATACAACAGCGCGGGCCCGCGCTCGCGCCGCTTCTGTCCCGCACCCGCGCCGCCTCGTTTGTCGTTCGGCAGTTGCAGTTGCAGACATACTTCAAAGAGTTTCTTATATTACAACTTGCGCGGGCCCGCATTCAAACTGCGCTGCTACTGCCCTGCGTTTGGTCTGCCCAAGGCTTAAAGGTCACGCTACGAAAGCTCAGGCGAATACGGTACTCACAGGTATAATATTTGAATATATAGACACAACACATCACACATTCAAATTCAAATATAGAATATCCTAGCTACTTCGCTCTTGTTAAATGTGTGCAAGCGAGACAGAAAGTACTTGTGATTGTCAGACTACGCAAGACGTCAGCGCGGCCACTAGTCAGCAATGGATATACTCCAGTTATGAGATAGCCACTCCTCAGAAATGATATAGCTGCTCCTTAACCATGATAGCCACTCCTCAGAAATGATATAGCTGCTCCTTAACCATGATAGCCACTCCTCAGAAAAAGCGTAGTCTGGCTCTTCTTAAAGCCCTATTACGATTTCTGGTGCTTCTAAAGGCCCTTTTATGACTCTTACAAGACTTACCAGCGTCCATCTGTGTGAGTGCTTCAATAAAAGGCGGGGTTATGGCTGCCTCTAGCCTGTTGTATAGTGTTTCCAGCTGCAGACGTTTGCTCTCATAATCCGGGGCTTCGCTTAGCACCTGGGGAGAAATAAAATGTAATAAATTGAGATATCTTGAATACTATAATGCTGAGCTAGAGCTTAACTGATCAGGTTACGTCAAATGTCAGCAAGACTTCAGATTTGTATGCTCTGTTACGTCATAATATTATGTCAAAATCACCCCTCCATTCCATACTTTTTGTCTCATTTAAGGGCAACCGCTGCCTTCGACGAATTCTCGACATAATAATATACTGGCCCGAGAAAATCTCCAACGTCGAGCTATTGGAACGAAGTTCCGATCGACCAGCAGATCAAGCACCGCAAGTGGAACTGGATTGGCCACACTCTCCGAAGGGACCCCGATCACATCCCTAAGTAGGCTCTGGATTGGAATCCCCAAGGAAAACGCAAACGTGGTCGCCCCAGGCAAACTTGGCGGCGCACTGTAGCGGACGAGGCGAAGAGGATCGGCAAGACCTGGAGCGAGAACAAGCGAGAAGCTCAAGACCGAACGCGATGGAGGACTGTTGTGGACGCCCTCTGCCCCATCTAGGGGACATAGGACCATAAGTCAAGTAAGTCAAGGGCTACATAGACTGCGAATTTTGTAAATAAGATTTATTTTTTATTAAAAACATTTAATTTTGTGTGAAATCATAAAAAGTCGACTACTCTAAGTGGGACGAATCCACAATTTTTCGTTCTGAGTTAAGTTTCTGTTGAGTTTTTTAGGTGTATTTTAGCGGATCAGCACGTGGAGTTACAGTCTGGATCTCCACTCGGCTTACATTCTTCGCTCCGCTTCTCGGTATTGTATGAAACTAGCTCGCAACACTATCCACTGAAGCAGAACGGAATGGGATTTTAAAAAGGCAGCCTAAAGCTAAGCGTCCACTTGTCGGTATCGTACGCAATGGACGCATCGTACAAAACACATCGTATCGGATGTACGATGCGTACGATGCAGACGCATGTGGACATGTGGACGCACTAAGGTGGCGGTTCGCGTCAGACAAGATAACGAGACGGGAGACTGCTGCCCGTTTTCACCATCAATCCCTAATTTTAAAGTGACCCCTATGGGAACACTTAAAAGGAATTTTGTTTTCAAAGGGGTCACTTAAAAATTAGGGATTGGTGGTGAAAACGACCATTACTTGACTTAGGTTTCACTCTACTGTCTCTGTCTCGCTCGCGAACTAACGCACATTGCCCAAAGTCAAGTAACACTCACGGTCTTTCGTCTCGCACTTTTGTCTCTGGCACCGCTTTAAGAGCGCTTTCACATTAGGGCGTTAATAGCGCGACTGCAGCGCGGCAGCGGCGTTTTTATAATGTGAAGGCATGCATCCGCTGTCACAACGTATGAAATTTTCGGCAGCGCGTCTGTCGCGCGTTTGTCGCGCTGCTAAATCGCCTAAGGTCTCAGCCTCGAATTTAGCGGGGAGCGGCGGCGGCGCTTTAGCGGCGAAGTGTTGTGTTCGGGGTTGTGTTGTCGAGATATTTGTTTTTATTCGCAAACGAAATGTCTGAACAACGGCGACAATTTTATTTCGATTCAAATTTATTCCTAACGCTCCATTTATTGTGGGCAAAAGAAGGAGTGCGCTGCCCGCTCGTTGCCTGCTCCCGCGCCGCTGATTTCGAGAACCGGTCTATTTGATTTTACGCATAAGATCCTGCCGCTCCCGCGCCGCTACCGCCGCCGCCCCGCTGCCTGCTGAATTCGAGGCTGAGGCCTAAATGTGAAAGCGCTCCAAGACTCACCTCCAAGCTAGCTGTCATGGCCGCCACTCTCCCAGCTAACTCCTGTAGCTCATTACTTCTAGTCGGCACTCCTGCCTCCAAAACGTCTTCAAGCCACGCCGCTAACGCCGCCCACTTGTCGGCTTCACGGAGAGTCGACGCTGCATTCTGGAAAAATACAATAGTTATTTATAATAGTAAGATGGTACTTTGTTTCAGCCAAATGACGTCCACTGCTGGACAAAGGTCTCCCCCAAGGATTTCTTTCTTCCCGCGACCTTCGACCTTTCTAGTACTAAATCCTTGAAAATTATGGCAGTAGTGACTATTGTAGAACCAACCATAACTTTAAAGCCGATCCGGCTCGAAGGACCATCTTACACAAGATTCTATATGTAAAAGACTTTTGATTTGGAATAAAAAAAAGTTTTGTGGGTGAAGCAGAAGAAGGCAGCGCATCTGTCGCGCGTTTGTCGCGCTGCTTAGTCGACTAAATCTGAAAGGGCTCTTAGCAGTGGCGGATTTACAGTTTTGCCGCCCGTAGGCTAGGGTGGAGTTGGATCTTTATTTAACTTTTATCTTCTGAAATCGAGTAAGCGTCATCTGAAATCTGCCGCCCCTAGGCCGCGGCCTATACGGCCTATTGACAAATCCAAGACTGGCTCTAAGTGCTAATATTGTGAATTAGTGACCTCTAGCCGGCTCTTGAGCTGATCGGTCCTTTGCAGGCTCTCAATGGAGTGTCCAGTCTGTTCCTGCACGTCCCGCACCATCTGCTCCAGAGACAGGAGTCTCTGCTGTAGCAGCGCGCCTTCTAACTGGAGGGAAGACGCATCTTGAAGCACCCGAGGGATTGAGGTCACTATCTGGAAGAGGGTAATAAAAATGTGTACAGATTGCTATAGTCTGGTCTGCGAGCACAGAATTTTTAATTCGCTCGCGCGTAATTATATTGCTGTCGCGACTGTGCGACGGGCGGCCGCAGTGAGTGTGCGAGCACGACAGCAACATAATTACGCGCGAGCGATAAGGATGGGTAGCTTGGGGTCATTGGACATAATGGGGATGTTGCCTGGGTCAAAAAGCAAGAGTTTTAATTAGTCCGTCAGTTAACTTATCAAAAAATACTCTACACGTATTTTTCACTTTTTCAAACTAATGAAAAATTAAAGAGATAAAGCGCCCCAAAGTACATAAGAAGAGGCCCGTGACGTCAACGCTTGCTTAAAAATGCCGCACGTTGTGACGTCGTGCGCAACTTCAACGCACCATAACTATGTAATTATTTNACGGATTCGATTCTCGAAAAGTGTAACTTGTCTAGTTTACTAGACCCACTGATCACGTTCGAAGCTCCTGTGCGGCGCTAAACTCGTCACGACATGCAACGAGACAATCGGCCAACTATCCAGCCGCCGGATATCCGGCTATCCGGCCTAGCAGCTCGCCGGATATCCGGTATCCGGTATCCGGCCAAACAACTATCCGTTTCATCTCTAATATCAATTTTCTGACTTCACCATACCATTTATATGCGTATGTTAACATGGGCTAGTGTCGGCTCATATACCCATTTACCTAACATCCTGTAGAGCTAACTGCGCACCACGCTGGAATGAGACTCTCCCTCCCACTGTGGCGTCATGGCCGTCAGGTGCGCAGTTAACTCGACCAGTGGGTCTAGCTAGACAAAGTGCAAATTATAATCGCAAACCAGTCGAAAAGTGGTCAAAAGGCCTTTTTTTGTATGGAGTTTTGACGGATTCGATTTTCGATTCGATCAAAAAGTGCATTTTGTCTGGGGGGGCTGGTTGTATATTTTATGATTTTGTTATTCGTTTACCTCTTACAAGTTTACAGTCTAAGCTCTACTCTTCTGGACAAAGTGACTTTTTATTTCTCTTTTACCCCACTTTACTTTTGAGGTAAAATTGCGTACCTTTACTCTGCTGCTGTGATATAGAGTTCGAGCTTCGTAAGTCGTATATGACCCCCTTGGTTCCGATGGCAACGACGGTGTTCAAGATGGCTTCGTCGGGCCTGCAGCGCCGGTGCTTCGGCCCGTAGAGCGGTTGACCTGCGCGTATTAGGACTGCCTGGAATGTATTAATTTGTATGACTGATAGTAAGTACAAACCAGAAACATCTAATAAGCTATGATAAAAGAAAACAGTGAGTGACAACGAAACAGCTAACTTAGGGAAATGTAGTGAAAGTAGAAATGTAGTTGTAGTAAGCGACGACGAGTGTCACTACATTCAATTTGCACCTCAATCTATCTAATAAAAGCGAAAGGTCACTGAGTAATTGATTGACTGACTCACTCACTCATCATGAAATCTCAGAAACTACAAGGGCTAGGTGACTCAAATCTTGCATGGGGGTTCCTTTTAGAACGTAGATGCTCACTAAGAAGGGATTTTGCAAAATTCATACCCTAAGGGGGTAAAACAGGGTCCACGCGTACGAAGTCGCGAGTAAGTCTAAAACATAGGACAGTTACATTCAATATTTTTCTATGGTTTCACTGCAAGACTTAAAATACTCCTGACTTGACTTGCCACTTGATTTTCTGCTTTTAGTGTGGATCAATTGCAATAATTGTACTCTTGCACTCTTGCAATTGCCTTTTCAGTTAAACTAGAAGTAGTTAAACAATATAACTTACCCCATTATTATGCCTGTAAGAGAGCACAGGGAACCGTCCCCCTTGCCTGAAGGTGGCTGCTGCAGCTATCGTCTCATCGTCAATGTTCTTTGGAACCAAAACAGCTTTGCCGTAACTGTTGCACACCGAGTAGTTATGATTTACTCGGGATACGCGCCACTCTTCCGTTGCTAGAACCTTTGTGAACTCTCCTTCAATACTAAAAAGAAAGATTTATTCATAGTTTTTTTAACACTGATCATAACTGAAGGGACCACAAAAAATTCTGAATGTCACTTTTTGGAGCCAAATAAATTCAGAATGTACGTAGAGTATGGCAATTCATATCAGCTTTCAAGACATGGCAGCATGCCAAAGATGGAGACAATATCTATATATATAAAAGAAAGTCGTGTTAGTTACTCCACTTATAACTCAAGAACGGCTGAACCGATTTAGCTGAAAATTGTCAGGGAGGTAGTTTAGAGCCAGGAGAAGGACATAGGATAGTTTTTAACCCGTTCGAAAAAAAAATCTGCTTATTTATTGCCATTAAGGCGGAACAAAGTTCGCCGGGTCAGCTAGTTAATGATATTTTATGCCAAGTATAATATGCTCTCAACAATCATAATAGAATATCTCTTACAAGAGTTGTATTAATGCAGCTAGAGCTAGATTAGATACTAATACATCAAACATCTAGAATCTAGATATACATAAATCTTTAGGTAAACAAGCTTTGGTAGACTATTTGAAAGAAATAATAGTGGATATGGGCGTATACATGGACAGTCAAGAGATAGCCAAAATTTATAGAATTGGGCAGCGCTCAAATGAAAATCGACCGGTAGTGGTCACATTGACAACATCATGGAAGAAACATCTTATTCAAAAGAACAAATCTAACCTACCCCAAGGCATCTATCTAAAAGAAGACTTTCCAAAAGATGTTCTAGAAATCCGCAAAAATCTACAACCAAAGCTGGAGGAGGAAAGAAAGAAGGGAAATTTAGCATATCTGAAATACGATAAGTTAGTAGTAAAAGCCCCAAAAGATTCTAACCGAGAAAAAAGGAAAAGAGAAAAAGTAGAATCACCTGAAACACCTTCAACAAGCACCAGGAAGAAACAGATTACCGATAAACATGTAGATGAGCCACCTACACACAATACTCAAGGATTAGTAAAACCAAGCATACTTAATTATGTGGCACGAGGTAGAGCATCATCGGTGTCTGAGCCAAAAACTACAAAAAACTAAAAACTGCCTCCCACAACTGGAAACCGGATAAGACAAATCAAACAACACAACAAAATAAAATAAAAACAATCAGCACCCCAAGCCGGCTGGTCACCGTGGGGGAAGAAGACCGATACCCTCCGAAATATTTACCTCAGAAGCAAACACAAGTGCTTCAGACAACAAATCGCCAACAAAAAAACAACATACTACATATTGCTACCTTTAATACGCTTACACTAAAAAGCACAGAAAGCTTGTCAGAGTTGATATTGGCATTGGAAAGAATAAACTGGTCAATAATTGGACTATCCGAAGTTCGACGCCTAGGCGAAAGCATAGAAGATCATGGAGACTTCATTTTCACCTACAAAGGAGATACACCTGGACAATCCGGAACAGGATTCTTGGTCAAAAAAGAATTAAGCACACACATCGATGAATTTATTGGCATATCGGAACGTATTGTCATACTTAACTTGAAATTGCCCAGAAGGGAGGAAATGTGGTCGATTATACAAATTTACTCTCCAACTGAGCAATCCAGCAATGCAGAAATCGACGCTTTCTATGCTATGTTAACAAGGGCAATCAAAGATCATACCTACAATAACCTAATAGTGATGGGTGATTTTAATGCAAGAACGGGACGTAGAGAAAAGGAAGAAGCGATGATACTGGGTCCATTATTTTTTGATATTAAACATTACGGACTAAAAAAATTTTTTTAGGCAACTAGCCTATTCTATGTGCTCACAGACCAGGCTTTAGTTAAAGATGTCCAACGATGAACTGTCCCAGCTATGACATTGTCAGGAGGGTGCTACTATCAATACTGGAATAATAGTTTTTGATTTTTAACTGCGGCTGATGGGGCAGCAAGGTTCTGGAATAGAGGCCAAGTACTGGAAGCACCAAAGACATCGTAAAAGTAGCAGGGAAACGCTGGACGCAGGCCGCTAACAATCGATCAACGTGGAAAGCATTGGGGGAGGCCTATGTTCAGCAGTGGATGTCCTATGGCTGAAATGATGATAATGATGATAATCCTGAGGATTGTACAACAAACTTACTTGAGTAGTTGTCTCGTCCAGTGAATTTGTAAGCTGCTTCATGTACAGCTGTAGTCTGGTTACTGTGTTGTTGACGAATACCTGAAATTAATAAAATTCAAGTTAAAACATACAAAAATTGATTGTACATGAGTGTTTCGGCTTTTTTGTCATCTCGTGCGCCTCGAATAATCGCTCCTCTATGCCACAATGAAGAATAAGAATAACTGTTCAGGGAAAAGAACAAGAAATGGCGAAAAACTTATACAAATGGCATACGAGAACAACTTAAAAATACTTAATAGTATGTACAAAAGACGTAACAACAACAGATGGACATGGATATCCCCAGACGGGCGTTACAAAAATGAAATAGACTACATCCTTACCAACAAAAGCAAGCTTTTTCGGGATTGCAGAGTCGTTAACAGTCTCAACTTCAACAGCAACCACAGAATGATCAGAGCCAAATTATTACACACAGATTCTACAAAGAAAAATAGACCATTTAAGGTAAAACCGACTAAAACTATAATACCTGAAGCCACTAGCAAAATGGAAAAGGAACTAATAAACTTTATAGAAAATACAAAAGAACTAAATATCCAACACAAATACGACAAGTTTGAAGAGCTAATGAAAACACAGAAAACAACGGGAACAGCAAAGGAAAAGAAAACAGTAACATGGCTAACAGACGAAACTAAAGAAATGTTAAAAACCAGAGATGAACTAATATCTATGACTGGAAAGACAAGGATAATTAGAACTAAAATAAGGGACATCAGCAAAAGTATAAAATTACACATGAGGAAAGACAGGCAAAGATACAGATTCGAAATACTGGAAAGATGCATTCAGAAAACTGGAGGCACCAAAAGAGCAATCAAACAACTAAAAGAAAAAACAGACTGGATACCTAACCNAATATCTATGACTGGAAAGACAAGGATAATTAGAACTAAAATAAGGGACATCAGCAAAAGTATAAAATTACACATGAGGAAAGACAGGCAAAGATACAGATTCGAAATACTGGAAAGATGCATTCAGAAAACTGGAGGCACCAAAAGAGCAATCAAACAACTAAAAGAAAAAACAGACTGGATACCTAACCTCTATGACAAAAATATGAAACATAAAACAAGACGCCCAGAAATTATGTCAATAGCCACTAACTTTTTCCGAGACTTATACTCAAAGAAAAACTATAATAAACCAAAAACACTAGCAGGGGGAGAAGATGTACCAGACATATTAAACGCAGAGGTGAAAAAAGCTATTATGTCTCAAAAGAAAGACAAAGCTCCCGGGTCAGACGGTATCAATAATGAATTCCTCATAGCAAATATAGAACACCTTGTACCATCCCTTACGGACATTTTCAACGAAGTTCTACACAGTGAGACAATACCCGAGCAATGGTCAACATCAACCATAACACTACTACACAAAAAAGGAGACAAAAACAACATAAACAACTACAGACCTATCAGCCTAATGTCGAATATCNGAAGTGAAGTATGTGAGCGGCAAGGAAGCGGTGAGTGGCGGACGCGCCGCGCTTCAGGCCGCTTGCTATAAATAAACCGGTTTAAACTATGCGCGGGACGCGCGCCGCGCTTCAAGCCGATTGCCACTCTACACTATCGGTGTGCACTCACACAAATGAAATTCTCAGCTTAAGTTGAGAGGACTGTATGAGATCTTTAATTTTCACTTTAAAGAACCATAAGTCTCATTGAACATTATTAGTACAACATTGAACATTAGTACATAAAAATAAGACCTTTCTGAGTCTCTGTCTGGATTTTTTTATGATAGGTATTTACTAAAATGTTGAACGTCACACGAGATGCATCATTTTAGGCGATTATCACACTGCGCCGCGGTACGCGGGACGAAAGATTTAATCATTGTATGCAAGTACCTCAGTTTGTATAGAAAACACGCGCGGCACTTCACACTGACAACAACTTATATGAAATCACGCGGACCGCGGCGCAGTGTGATAATCGCCTTACTGGATACAAATACTTAACCTTAAGTAACATAAAAACTTAAAAAACATTCCACGATTAATTCTAGGTAGGTAATATTAATCTTTAACCACTTATCCACTATTTGTAATGTTATGCAATAAGTAGACAATTTGAATATTTTAAAGATAATATTCGAATATGTAGTAAAGTTCTCTCTTCGTTACTGATTCAGTTCTCGAAGTACAGGTAATCCTGAAAAAAATAAATTATTGTAAAAAAATTTACTTGTATTTTATTGGATATTAGCCAATCACAGGTTGATAAAATCTTTATGCGACTCAAAGCTCAAAAGACATGGAAAGGTGTTACGTACAGGCTCAGACAGGAACAGAATTATATTTGCGTTAATAATATGGAATTATGCATGCGTATTATAGGTTTTTAGACGGTCAAACTTATCAGTAGAATGGACTTACGACGAGCAGGTACTGATGAGCGCCAAACGGATTTATTTTATATTATCCACAACGATGAAGCTCTTGGCCTGCATCTCACCTGATGAATCGTGATGATCAGGCCGATGGTGGAGGCGAGCTTCACCTTACGTATCTTACCTTCAACTGCCGAAACACAACAATGCTGTCTAACATTATTGAAGGCGACAGACTTAGATAATATGGTGGTAGCTAGCCAGGCGGACTTAGAACAAGCTCTACCACCAACCAAACCGAACAGAAAATCTCTCCCCACAGGATTCGAATCGGGGACCTCTGGGTTTGAAGCGTGTGATCTTACCACTAGAGTAAAGAGGCAGATTTTTGACTTACAACCCGGTTACTGCGCACCAGGCTTACGTGACGTCACGTCGATGCTCTGGTACGGGCGGGGCGAATGCAGGAAGGTGTGCGGAGGAGGAGAGTCGCATTCCAGCAAGGTGCGCACTTAGGTAGCACTTAAGGTAGATATAGACTTACGATGAGGAAGCAGGTGCCAATGATGGCGGCCTTGAAGCGCACGTCCAGGTCCACGGGAAACTCCAGATGGAAGCTGTCGGCGTCCGTCAGCGCCGTGCGCCAGCCGCGCCACACGCGCTTGATCACGCCTATGGGCCGCTTGTCGGCGGTTTGTATCTGCCAACAAACAGCAACAGGAATAAAAAGGAGGAGGTGATTTAGTCGACACCAGAGTTACGTAACAAAACGAAACTGCGGTTGCAGCACAAAACAGTCACTTTTCAGTGACGGCTTTTTCATTATTTTTTTTTTGCGGGTATTCGTAGCCGCACCAATTACATAAACGAAACTAATAATGATAATTCATTTCCATAAATAAGCTAGTAGTAATTAGTACAAAGAGATAGATGGGAATAACGGCGCGGGCTGTACAAAATAACTAAATGTATATTTTTTTAATGCATTATCTGAATTGTACAATTGTTTATTGTCCTAAATAAAACAAATAAATAATAACTGCTGCAACGAAAAACAGCAAAATTGAAGACTTTTCAGGACGTAACGTGCACTCATAGCTATATTTGAGGTAGCAATAAGAGCGTATCGATCATCAATACGTAAAAGTATACCAAGAGCACCATGTGTAGTTGTGGACCAGTGCTGAGAAAAAACAAACGCAAGAAACTCGGTCACTATAGCCCTCTTCGCAGCAAGAATCTGGATGGGAAGCCAGCTACGTACCAAGTATACACAAGGTGGACAGACGACGTCAAAGCTAAAGGCTGTCACCAACCGGCCAATCTGGAAATCATTGGGGGATACCTATGTTCAGCAGTGGACGTCTGGTGGCTAAATGATAATGATAATGAGACTCTCATCAGGAGATCCCTCTCACCACGTAGTCGGGCTCAAAGCCGGTGACGACGGGCCCCTTGACACGCAGCACGGGCTGGTCGTTGGCGTCGTTGATCTGCAGCACGGGCTTCGTGAAGGTGAACTCCTGGCGCACCACGCTCACCAGCTGCCCGCCGATGCAGACCTTCATCTTGTCTGGCCCGAACGTGTACGGCCGCCGGAGCGTCATCACCTGGAATTGGTTTGATGGTGTCTTAGTAAACGAAGAACGAGGCACCTGATGTCATGCCCTGAGTGCCCAAGCAACTGCACTCAGGAGGATTTGATGAGTGCTACTGACAACGCCACTCTTGTGGCGGAGTTTTGGGCTGACACTGTGTAGGTTTGTTGTCGACACGAAAAGAAGAAGAAGTAAACGAATCACTGAAAACTGAAAGTCCAAAAGATCTCACTACGTGAAACTGCGTTCAAGAGAAGGATCAAGCTGAGGAATTAAAATACTAAAATCGAAATAAAATGTAGTATTCGGAAGACGACAGAACATTAATAGGAACACTGGCATCTGACGTAATTAAATAATGGGCATGATTTTCCAGAAAAAAAAAATAGGCTGATTTTTGCGTCAACTAGTCCTAATAATAATACGACCATAGTACTATTATTTCTGGGTATGTAATTGAATAATATTGCCAGTTTTTTTTTCGACTCGACTCTACCTTACATAAGTTAAGGTTTACTGTGTAGTCAAGGATATAAGCTTACTACCTCTTATGGCTCTACTTACTTCTAAAATATCTTCGTAACTTCCCAAAAAAGAACAATAGCGTGACCAGAAGCACCTTATTATAATAAAACGGCGCCCTATTACATTACAACCAGAGCTAGACGTTATCAAAAATAATGAATTAATTTGCCCGATACTCATCTACAGTGAAATAAAGCTCAGCCACACGCGACTGGACTATTAGCCCTTCACCCTGACCCTTTAGGACAGCGGCTCCTAAACTTTTGAGTTTTGCTCCTTAGTTGAAGACTGTTTCAAAGTGACATTTCTTTACAAAACGTCACATTAAAACAGGGTTCAACTATGGTGTAAACTTTTATTAATAAGGGAGTTGGTGTATGTCGGCTGGACTCCTAACACAAGCTTAATTGTGTAATTGACATCAATTTAACCATTAATTTCAAAACGCCATTTAGCCTTGAAGATTGAGTTGGATTTCAATTTGTTATTTTAAGGGAAATTTAAAACGTACCAAGTTTTGACAGCTCATAAAAAGTTAAGTGGTTTTATGTACACAATTATTAATCACTACTACAAAAATTACTAACCTAATCTGAGTTACCGTACAGTTTGATATTTTTATCAAAAGATTATTTTTTATATAGGGNTTCCGAAGGAATATTAACTTTATGGTTAAAACTTGCTTGGGTAGGCATATCAAAAATTAGTATAGGTAAATCATGCGTGTTGATTCAGGAGTGGATACTCGACACTGGACCACATCTATGTAGTAAAGCAATTATTTGAAAAGGGCAGAGAATTTAACTTAACATTCTACTGCTGCTTTGAAGATTACAGCAAAGCCTTTGATTCATTGGAACACGAAGCGATTTGGCAAGCACTTAAAAACCAAGGTGTAGAATGTAAATACATCAGAATTCTTAAACACATTTATGAAAACATCAAAGCCAAAATCAAGCTAGAAAAGCAAGGTAAGGAAATAAGAATAGAAAGAGGTGTACGTCAGGGCGACCCAGTATCACCTAAACTGTTCACTGCTGTTCTGGAAGAGGTGTTCCAAAAATTAGATTGGGAGAAATGTGGACTGAATATCAATGGTGAATACCTGTCGCACTTGAGATTTGCAGATGATTTGATTATCATCTCGCAATCAGGGGCAGGGTTACAGACTATGCTAAATGATTTGGATACAGAGAGTCGTAAAGTTGGACTAATCATGAATACAGAAAAAACTAAGGCCATGACAAACGGGAACCAGGAACCTATCAACGTGAACAACAACATAATTGATTATGTAGACGAATACATCTATCTCGGTCAAACAATCTCGCCAATGGATCTTACATCTAAGGAAATCAACAGGCGAATAGGTAATGCATGGAAACAATACTGGAGTTTAAAAGAAGTGATGAAAAACCCTGTAATGAGCATGACTGTCAAACGAAAACTTTTCGATACTTGTGTACTGCCTGTCCTTACATATGGCTGCCAAACCTGGGCGCTGAATAAAACTCATATCCATAAACTTGAAACATGCCAAAACGCAATGGAACGAAGCATGATGGGGAAAAGACTTTCTGATAGAGTAAGAACCACCACCATAAAGAATTGTACAAGAACAAAAGATGTAACAGTAACTATCAGAAAGTTGAAATGGAGATGGACAGGACACACAATTAGAGGAAAAGAGAAATGGTCTAAATCTACAATGAACTGGTTCACAAGGCATTTTAAGCGAAAACGGGGAAGGCCACCAAGAAGATGGGTAGATGAAATAAAGGCCACAGCTGGAGGTGGATGGGCAACAGTTGCAGGAGATAGAGGAGAGTGGAAACAGTTGGAGGAGGCCTTTGCCAAAAGGCACACAGACAAGTGTCAATTAGAATAATATTAAACTCAATCAATTTTAAACTCTGTATGTCTGAATAAAGGCTTATATTATTATTATATTATTATTATATTTTTTAACCCCAAGGAGCCACGCACTTCAGATTGAGAGCCGCTGCATCAATACAATCAATGGCTAGTTATTGGAAAGTATTCTGTGAATATTTGCTTGAACACAGTCAATTAAGGTTGTGAATAAAAGTTTATTTATCGTATAACACAATCGACTCTAATGGCTACCAGTTAATAATGTTTATCTAACGTTAAGGAAAAAGCAATCAGTAAATGTTTGTTTGACGAACTAAAATAGTCAATTCGTTAACTACAAAATCTAAGGTACGTATCTACCATGTAATCTAGGCACTACTTTACTTTGTTATCGAGAGATTGTAAACAGAACTCTTCCTGCAATACGAGTCGTGATTAAGATTCCAGTGTTATCAAACCGACACAATCAATTACAACTCAAGCGTATGACGTAGACCACCCATCATTCACATAAGTAGGTACTTTACTTTTATCGTAAATGGTGGCAATCACACCGCACCTACTCGTAATAATCAGTCTTAATTTCTTTATTTGTATAGACTACTAGCGGCCGCCTGCGACTTCGTACGCGTGGAGCCGGTTTTACTTCCTTAAGGGTTAAAAAACCATGCTTCAACTGCAACAAACATTTAAAAAAATATAATTGGTCCAGGCGTTGTTGAGTTATGCTCTTACCAACATATTTTGCGATTCATTTTTAGATAACTAAGGAGACACATGACGTCTCATAATCTTTTTGCCCTATCAGCGCTTCGAGACCAACATTTGGCAAATGCCAAGAAGAAGCGCCGCAATAAAATTAACTGGATACAGGTTACATACTTACATAAGAATTGCGAGCAGGTCATAAAATAGAAAAGGCGTTGATTAAATAGGAATCGAAATAACTCCCATTATGTGGGTGGTCTTAGAGAGCGGTGCTAAGAGCGGGCTATTTCTGCTAACAGAAAGAAAGATTGATTGTTCCTCTGAGTGTTACCGGACAGTGTGCAGAGGAGATTCGTGGTAAACACGTATCGAAGGTTGATCAAATCCATCGGCAGATTGAAACTGAAAAACTACATTTTACTTGGAAATGTTAGTACCAAAACAGCTCTCAATTGTGTATTTTGACACCAATTAACAATACCTACATTCCAAAGTACAACTTTTTCAAAATATTACATCATTCTTTCTTAAAAAGTCAATTACTCGTAGTATGATCTACTGTAGGCAGATATCTAGGCGTTAGAACTCATTAAAAAGTTAGTTGTTAATTGAGTAAAAGAGTGACATCATCGGCTTGAATTGCCATTTAAATCAATAAAAGAGAATTGCGATCAGGCAGCTCGTAAAAAGTGGTACCTACTACCAGGCCTCCGTCACTCGCCTATGCCGGCCGAGATAATTACCTACAGCGCGCGACAACTTCAAGTTGCAAATCAGTCCGGGCCGCCACGCGCCTGTTTGCACACGCGTATCTATACACGCTCGGTCGATCATAGTCGCAATCAAGGTTTATTGTTCCAACAGCACTGTTATTCTTCTTTAATGAAAAATTGTAATATTTAGGAATAATAATTAACTGTAGTGATTTAAATAAAAAAAAAACTACACTTTTTAAATAATAAATTATTTTGAAATACTTATGACAAAAAACTATAGCAAAAAAATTATTTTAGCTAATAAAAACATTAACTTTACTTCACCGTGTCTATTTTCCGACACTACACCTTTTAAAACTGTTTGTTTAATTTCGAATTATCGCAACACTGAAGTTTATTAATAGGTACTTTAGAGATGGTACGATTATACAAACTCCACTAGATTAAAGTTTTCTAATCGTAAATACAATAAATGCTTCTTAAAATTAAGTTTTTATTTATTTTACTTTGCTCATACAACCCTGACGCTTGAGCGGTGACGTAGATCAATTCTAAACACAAAAAAATGCGCTCTTGTGAGCGTAGTAGTAAGGTGCGATTTCGAATGCACCATGTGCGTTGGATATTTTGCATTATTATTATTACCGTTAAAATGTCGGCATCTGATCCTACACAAAGGAGTGCAATTTCTGTTGCTACTATTATGTATTCTGTGCTACTACATCAATTGATTTGTAGTATCAATTTCGCTATACCCACATTTCGCTTTGCTCTCAATTTGGCATCCATTGCTGCGGTAAAAACTGGTCTCCTCAGCTGTCTTTATGGGCCAGCGATAAATTAGTACATTGCAATAAATTGATCGTGATAGAAGATGAGTTCCTAAAACAATAAGGCTCCTAAAGAATGAAAAACTTAGTGCTACTTTCTTCAAATTCAATAAGCCAAAATTTCTTGAAATACTCGTGTTTTTCTTAAAAGAATAGTTGTAATGTATTGCATAAATTACTGATAAGTACCTAGTCCTGTTAAACCTATCCTACTGAGCTAAATACTTGTGTTACGAGTGGATTCAACACAACAGCAGCAGCGGGGTTCGAACACTCGTTCCTCGGATCTCGAGTCAACCAGTCCTACATCTTGTTCATCATCATCATCATTTCAGCCATAGGACGTCCACTGCTGAACATAGGCCTCCCCTAATGCTTTCCACGTTGATCGATTGGTAGCGGCCTGCATCCAGCGCTTCCCTGCTACCTTTACGATGTCGTCGGTCCACCTTGTAGGTGGACGTCCCACGCTGCGTTTTCCGGTACATCTTGTTCGGCTAAAGCTAACAGAAATAGAGGAATACCCCTCGGACTAAGTTAAAGGATGCTGTGTTACGATTGGGTTCACCACAATAGTCCAGACCGGCAAGATTCGAACGTACCTCGGATCTCGAGTCGGCCAGACCTTCACCATTCGGTTAAAACTAAAACATCCCGCAGTCTACAGACTTTTAGTCAGCCGTTAGTTTGGTCGACTTCCAATTTGTATGAGGAATCGGCTGTTACAAAATCAGTGTAATTTGCGCATTTCCATACATGTTCATACTAATTAAAAGCCCGATCAAAAACTATCGGCCGACTAATAGTCTGTGGTCTGCAGGGTGTCTGTGGTCTGCAGGGTGTTTTTTTTTTCCAAATAGGCTTTTAAAAACCTCTTACACGTCCCAATATCTAACAGAAATAAAAGAAAAGTAATTAACCTCGTTATCCTGCGCGTCATGGATGTTGATGTGGAAGGGCCTGCTCTTGGCGCTCATGAGCATGACGCCGCCGGTCTCCTTGGCGTAGAACAGCACCTCCCCGTCAGGGTCGGTGACCACGTACTTGTTGCCCTTGAACACCGTCATCTTCTGCCGCACCAGCACCCGGGATAACGGCAGCAGCTTGGCAGCTCCTGGAATTTGACGGCTGATGCATGAGACCTCAGATCATAGATGAGACTTAGAGCGCTTTTATTTAGGCGACTTTAGCAGCGCGACAATCGATAAATTGATAATTGAAAAGTAGATGACAGCGGATGCCTGCCTTCATATTTAAACACGCTGCTGCAGCGTTGTTGTCGCGCTTCTGACCCCCTAATGTTAAAGCTGTCTTACACCACTTTTACACGTCCCAATATTAACCCTACCACTATGATCACAAGTAAACGATGCCTGCTTAAGTGAAGCAGCAAATCGAACGCGCAACGTTTAATAGAGCTCTGTAATTAGTTCGTGTGTGACCTTGTGCGTCCACGCGCACTGTGAGACCTCATGGTAATGTTTGTGAATACGGACGTAAGAGCCCTTTCACATTTAGGCGACTTGACTAATTTATCTAGATGACAGCGAATGCCTGCCTTCATTACACGCCGCTGCCGCGTTGCTGTCGCGCTTCTGACCCCCTAATGTTAAAGCTGTCTTACACCTGTATGATCACAAACGAAAGCAGCAAATCGAACGCACAGCGTTTAATAGAGCTCTGTAATTAGTTCGTGTGTGACCTTGTGCGTCCATGCGCACTGTGAAACCTCATAGTAATGTTTGTGAATACGGACGTAAGAGCCCTTTCACATACGCGACTTGACTAATTTTTTTTTTTTTTTTTTTTTTTTGATAGGAGGCAAACGAGCAGACGGATCACCTGATGGTAAGCAATTGCCGTCGCCCATGTACACCCGCAACATCAGTGAAGTCACAATTATCAAATTTATCTGCTGTCGCGCTTATGACCCCCTAATGTTAAAGCCGTCTTACACCCGTATAATCACAAACGATGCCTGCTGTGAAGCAATAAATCGAACGCACAAGGTTGAATAGAGCTCTGTGATTGTTTCGTGTGTGTCGTCGACGCACAGTGGACAAACGCATGCATGACAGACACGCTGCTAATAATTTCATACTACCTAGTATTATAAAAACGTTGCTGTCGCGCTTCTGACGCCCTAATGTGAAAGCTGTCTTAGGCCTGACTTCCACCAAAGTGAAGAGAAAATGTGTTTGAATAAACAATCGGATTCCCGTACTGAAGCTTAGCGTAGAGATGATGGGAGGATAATATGGAAAAGAGACACTGCATTGTAACTTTATTTTTAACATGACTGATACTCGTATAAAATTATCTATACTTATAATAAATCTGTAGAGAGGTCAATTCTGTACATGAAATATTTTTTCAAAATAACTATCAGGGGGTGATAAGTCATCGATACTCATGCCAAAAATACAATCAGTAAAATTTTTGTCTGTCTGTCTGTCTGTCTGTGGAATTCCCACGGGAACGAGAATTAGCGGGAAAATCCTTTTGTATGAAAAATCTAAACCGCTTAAGTTAGACGCTTGAAGTTTACTAACTTAAGTTAGACGCTTAAGTTAGTAAACTTAAAGCTTAGTTACAACAGTATATTGCAAAATTCCCACGGGAACGGGAGTTAGCGGGAAAAAACATTTGTATGAAAAAATCTTAACCGCGTAATCTTACGCGGTTAAGATGAAGGGGGTAAAATGGGATCCACGCGTACGAAGTCGCGGGCGGGCGCTAGTTAACAATAAAATTCAGATGTAGACTAAACAAAACGTTTTCGTCAAATAAATCTAACTGGAATCTCAGTTCTAATAACATCCAAGCCACTATTAAGACCTAAATCTGTTATTTAGCATTTCCACTCGAAGCTGTTTGTTTTTCCAATGGTAGAGTTCAGTCAGAGGCGATTTGTAACCCACGCCTGTGCTACTAACACTCGACACGAGTTGAAAAATAAATCTCAACAATCCTCGCACGTATTACCTAACTAATTATCTGTTAATATTCCGTAATAAACAAAGGCAGACAATGATAAAAGTGATTCCACTGCTTCTTTTCAGCACCAATCGATATTTTCCAAAATGGCGATAGGGCAAGCTTTAATTTCGGAAATAAGTGCCCTGAAAATGGGCTTTCTTAAACAGTTGTTAGATTTCAATTGATCTCAAATCAAACCTGAGTTAGGGCTATGCTCAAGGCGATTCATCATCACGCCGTAGCGTCGGTTCTGAAGCAACGCTGAGTTGACAAGAAGGTCATTAATAAAGAATTCCAATTCATCACGTAATTAATAACATATTTTATTTTGATATTTTATCACAGCTCTGCTTCACCATATCACCATTTCCCTAATTAATGTACCTACCAATTAAATAAAACTGACTAATTAAGTATAGTCCAGTCAATAAAGCATTATAGATGGAAATCCGTGGAACACAATTTCTGACTTCGGGACTTTATTTAGACTAGTTAGGAGGTGAACATAGCAAAAGTCCCCGCCCTTAGCCCTTGAGCCGGCGGGGTGAGGGGGGTTTAAAGGTACCACTTTTCGGTTTTTCGCTTAATCCTCGGAAACTATGCGTCCTAGTTACACGACTACTTTGAACCAAAAAAAGCTTATTCAATTTGCTACAGGTGAGACAGTCAAGTTTTTCTACATCTTTTATAGTTTTCACGGCATCTGCTCTAGAAGGTCTGTAATATTGGAAATTTTATTTTTGTCTTACAAGTTCCCATCAGGAGAAAATCGACTAAACCAAAATTAACCAAACATTTTAGACATGCGGGAGCATGTTAAGCCTAGTTCCAGGGAGGGGACTGCACCGTGCGTATATTTATACGACCCAATTGGACTCCTCATCACTCAAAAACTACTGTGCATTAACACTTCAAATTTGGCTCATATGTTGAGACTTGCAAGATAAACATCAGCTTCAAATTTCATAAATATACCTCAAACGGTTCTTTAGGTATTGTTCTTTAGTTAATTTAGTGCTAAAAGTACATTAATAATGTATTTAGGTAGAGCTGTTTCCTTCCTTATTTGCTTTAAATTGTACCTACAGCTCCTATCCTTATTGATGGTATATTATTATTATTATGACGGAATTAAACCTAAAAATGTCCATCCGCAATATTAAGTAACAATTAATCATCTTTAATTATTCGTTCATTCGTTCGTTTCAGCCTAATGATGTCCACTGCTGGACAAAGGCCTCTCCCAAGAATTTCCATGACGACCGGCCTTGCGCTCCCCGCATCCAAGCTCTTCCCGCAACCTTCACCAGATCATCGGTCCACCTTTAAATAATAATTAAGATAAATAATATATTTGATACGAATACATACCGGGTGGGCATGTGCAGCTTCCAATCATGGCCTTTGCCTCACTCATTTTTCCAATTAACTTGTAACCGCTCTTAAAATGACAATTTAAACTTAAATATTTAATTCTTCATTCGTTCCCACCACTCTTTAATACTGCGCACTCTATAGATTCACTTTTATTAATCAACAATCAAATTACAAACACAGATAACCGAAACTCGTTAAAACCTTGTAAACCAAAGCATAACGTCATCTGCAAGTTGTTGAATCGTATAAATAGTTAATCGTTTTTATGATATGTTGTTACAAAGTTGTAAATGCGAATGTTGGGTAAACAAAATGTATTTTCGAGACAGAGGCGCTCGCACGACGCCGGCTGCACCGTCACTGAGTCAGTCACGGACGCCAACTGAACCTTCGACGACGCCGCGACGGGGCCGCGTCACGTGCAAACATCATTATTCGGCACTCGACTACGGGACTATTCCCACCTCTCGTTCCCACCACTGCAACTCCTGTGTAGCCAGGATCTACAGCTTGACCGCCACAAAAACCCAACCAATGAAGGCCAAGTTTGTCCCGGGGGAAAGTTAAATTGTCATTGGACCCGCAACGAAATTAATCAGAAGAACATAGGAGGAGTTCGAAATTAAGGTTCGACTTCCCTCCATTGCAAAGCGGATGACAGGTGACAAACAAAGGTTTAAAACCTTTAAAAAAAGATTATGCACCACGGACAATAAATTAAATTAAGGGGGCCTATCTTATGAGCAATTAGCAACTACCTGCCAATAATATTTTTCACAAAATCGCTTAAAAGCACGGAAATTTTTCCTTGTCGCGACAAGATCGGTGTAATAAATTGCGGAAACAGATGTATGTTGTATTGAATTAAGCATTATATCACGTTCATGTTTCCAAAGATCACACTCCCACAAGATATGATGGGCAGACTGCTCATGACTGACATCATCAGTGGAACACTCGCAAAAAGGAGACGGAACTAGTTTGAATTCGTGAAGTTTATGTTTAAAGTTGCCATGTCCCGTGAGGAACTGCGACGAGCAATTCGGCACTCGACTGTGAATGTCTGGGAATTTAGCCACATTTTTCGCCATAACAAAACGGCATGTCTGACGTAATGCCCTCCGTCTCCGTCCGGCACGCCCGCTATCAGATTATTAGTGTGCGTAAAATTACCGGTTTAAACGAGTCTGAAGTAAACATCTAGGTTTCTTTATCCTCATTTGGGAAACAAATAATGTAAATGTTATCACTCTACGAGTATTAAAAGTTATTGTATTACTTGTATTAATATTGTACCTACTCCACACATTAGCCAAACTACATAGGTATTAATGTCGAACTTTATGAACGCACGTATCTTGTTACCTGTGTGAGGTAACTCTATTTTGATAACAGATAACAATGTTTCTTTCAATTGAGTTCATTGAGAATTCAGTGAGTGAGCTCGAGCATGCTAAAATATAAAAACATATTATTTTTCAAGTAAAATCTGCGAAAATCCAACATGCTTTGCATAGGTAATTTATTTACCTACTCGTTTTTTGTGTAAAATAATGTTAGGTACTGAATTACACACATGAAACCATCAACCCGTCTCCAGCTTAGAGTTTAAGGCCAAATCTTACTTTTTTATAATAAGTCATACTCCCTGCAATGGAAACAATAACTCGATAATGATGATGAAAATGAGTGCTATATTTTCATTCTCCTAAAAGAGAGTTCGTAACAGTTATTTTAAGGTAATTGTTCGTATTAGCCGCTGCGATACAAGCTTTCCTGCTTAGTGCAGAGACCGCCAGAATAATTTGTACAATGTGACATCTTTTAGTAATAAATACTTTTTTACTTTTTACTTTTACTTTTTTAGTTCACTGTACAAGTTTTTAAGCAACATGTCCTTCACAACATCCTGTCTCTCGAATAGAGCTCGTATGAACACTGTCGTTTGTATGCTTCAAATCTAGCTCGTTAATAATCGACGGCACAGCTCGATTACCATGTCCTAATTGCTCTTAATAAAATTAGTTAAATGTAAATTGACTGATCCACGCGTGGTAGGCGCAGCAGTTGGCACAGTCGAGGGACTACATCACTTCGAACCAGTTACAAGACAGTCCTAATGAGATTATGAAATCTAATGCTTTTCAGATGAGCTTATGAATATTTAGGAAAAGAATACATAATACCCAGTTGTGTATAAGCTAAACTTTGCTGGCATCGCAACAAACTTATCGTAACTTTAAGAATAAGTACGATTATTTGGCGAAGTTAACTGGATTTGCAAACCTACTCCATTTCTATTTCTATTTATTTAGTTCCTTGGTGGCCTTAGTTACACGCAATATTGCTCTACACAACGCACGATAGAGGTCATGGCACAGAATGCTCGCATGGTGTTTCAGGGTTAGTAGGGCCCAATTAGGCAAGTTTAGCGATTTATCGTGCTCTATCTGAGACCACTCCCTTAATTACTTACAATTTAACACAAAAAGATATATCAGTGGATTTAATACCAGGTTCTAATAACAACCCTCGAAAGCAACTATTAAGTTGCAAACCACTTACATTCATTAGGTATACCGCTTGTTTTAGACAGTAATCAGTATTTCTACCTACCCTTTGCTTCCATGTTACAAATTAATGTAGAGCTAAAATAGGTATGTATAGTTCTAACCTAAGCACATAATTGTTCTTATACCTCTGTGATCGTTACTTGTTTCTGTGCCTAATCTAAGCCTATAAATACTTAAATAAAATGACAGTTCAAAAGTTTATTCCTTGCTTCCAAATTAAATGTAAAGCCAAAATGACAATTGAAAAATTGAACATGGAGTGTGGTCACCATACAGAAGCAATTTATTTCGCCCAGCACGAGGCGCCGCTGACGCTGCGTACCTACACTCCCCGGCACACAATGTGACACAATATCTCCTAATGGATTTCAGGCTAAGTTACACTTACATAATATAAAGTGTGGAGTAGACCATGTAGGCGTGTTTTATGTAGGTGCTCCTGAAATAGGTATTACGTTATGAATGAAGATGAAATCTGAATGTTATTTGCGGCCGCTTCTAATAGTTTTCAATTACCTACTTTGCCTGGCCCTTTTCAATTTTTTTGAAGTCGGCCCTCTAAGTATAAGGTTCTTATTTACATCCTTGTGATTCGGGATCTTCTTCGTCCTTGGGGTTTAATTTTCATATTCTAGTATAATTTTGCTGGGGTAATGCACTCCTTTTCATTCAAAAACCAATAAAAAAAACCTATAAACCTACCTACAAACCTACCTACTTAATCTGATTAGCTATTATTTTTCAACCGACTTCATTTTTCTACTTTTTAGTGTAAGTAGGTTTTTTGGAGTCGGTTTAATTTTTTTTTATGTGGGTGGATGTTTGAAGTTAATTGAAATGTAAGGTGAAACCTATGCCAGGCTGTCGGTCACATTAGCTCTTTGTTATGATGATAATGTGCATAGAATCACTGAATTTTTGCTTGCCGTTGCTGTCCCTTTGCTTCCCAGATAGCAAGCGAACTTGCTGCAAACATGATTTTTATTTGAAATTAGATTGTCACGTCAAATATGACAAATCAAGTTTGTGGCAATATTGCTGTAAGCTTTTTGATTTAGGTATGATGTTTCAAGGCTTTTTTAATTTTGAAGCAAGTTTGCATTTTGCGCTATGTTTCAAAGATGAAGTATCAAGTTTGTTTTTTGTTTGTTACAAACTTGCGTTAAACTGTCATACGCATGGAGCAAATAATCAGTGTTGCCAGAAGGTTACTTTTGTAACCTTTTAGGTTACTTTTGAACTGCATTGGTTACTTTTAGGTTACACTAATGAAAAGGTTACTTTTAGGTGATTTTTCAGAAATTGTAGAATTAACTTTTACAGGTTATTCAGTAAAAATATTAATAGTGACAATTTAAAAATTATGTCATAAACTGCATTTAAACATGAATTTGATTTATTATTTGTTAAAGACAATGAGTTTTAGCAAATGTTTTTTTGATAATAAAACGCAAATCCATGAAACGGTTTTATATTTATAGAAGCAGACATAATGCAAGTTTGTTAAGGCAAACTTACATATAATTTATAGAAGCAGACATAATGCAAGTTTGTTAAGGCAAACTTGCATATACTTTATAGAAACACATTAATGCAAGTTTGTCGCTCGGAAACTAGAAAGTTTGATTTAAACTTGCCTCAAGTTTATATACTTGCCATGGCAAATTTGAAACAAAGCTTCATTTTTGATACATCAAACTTACTGCAAGTCAGATTCAAGTTTAAATTGTTATCTGGGTTCTATTAAACTTTCAAACTCCACCCACCCACTCCAACAGTTAGAGCGCCTGAAAATATTGCTACAGCCATAGTTTCCATCTACATCCTATCAGGCACTTGTGGCTATTAATATTGTGTTTTGATAAATTCTAATTCTTTTTAGTATATAAGTAGTAAGTAGGCCCTTTTATTTTAGGGCACACGTACCTAGTAGGTAGGTAGGTACTACCTACACACATACATCATAGCTAAGCATACCCCAATTACGACTACTAACTTCTACTGGAATGATTTAGGCAAAAAAATAATGCTACGAAAGCTATTTTGAAGATTTGTCCAGACAGTCTTGAGCTACATCACATTTTTCCCTCCCTTGGGGAGGGGGAGGCAGGTATGGGAGAACTCGGGATATTTATAAATTGCAAAATATTGTAAATTGTTGTGCAATTTTAATAACTAGTTACCTACGCAGTTTTGAAAAACTTTACAGTTTACTGTAGTGTAGGAAGTCATAGCCTTTGGTACAAACATAAAATCCGAGACAATCCTACATTTACCTATTGCAAAAATAAAACAGTTATAAATATTTCAAAGTTATTTATTCGTTATTAAAATAAAAATCACAGAAACCGGGCCTAAACTAGTCAGTCTGAAAGATTTAATAAAACTAATCACTGGTTTACTACTTAGATTCTTCCTTCTTCTCTGCGGATTTGTCCTGGATCGGGATCTTCCTCTCCTCGACCGGCTCCGCCCTAAAGGCTACCAGCAACAGCTTTCCTTTGTCCAGGTGGCACTCCACGCGCTCCGGGGGAAACCCATCAGGCAGCAGGAACCGCCTCTCGAAGTGACTCCTCGTCCAGCCATCCTCTCGCTTGATCTCCTTCTTCCCCTCCACCAAGATCTCGTTCCCAACGGTCTTCACCTGAATCTGATCCGGAGAGAAATTCTGGACGTCCAAATGCACTTCCACCTTCTTGCCGTCAACCTTCACCTCCGAATCGGAGTAAATTCCTTCGATGCCATGCTCCTGCTCGATAGGAGCTGTCACTTGCTTGATGTACTTCACAGGGTCGCGGAAGAACGGGTCCCTGGCTAACAGGGCAAACGGATCTTCAAACGCCCTGGCGATAGGATCCCGGTACGCCAGATTCCTCATATGTCGTAACCAGTACGGCATCAGAGACATTTTCGCAGATATTTTCACTTGGCACTTTTGTTTTCACGTCGCGCGTCGCTTTGACAATTTCAACTGTTTATTTTCCGCGCGCGCTCGGTCGTATTTATACTCCGTGGAACTAGCGCGATCTGTTGTCGAGAAGCTACGAGAAATATCACGAATTTTCCAGTGAAGTATGAAGTTAATAGAAAGTTCTAGAAAGCGACATCTGTTGAGCTATAAGAAAACTACGTGCAAACTTATAGCAATACACTTTAACAAAATAATATTTTTCATTTTAAAATGTATAAATGGCCTAGATTTATACATTTCTTGTTTTTATATTATTATTTGTCATAAATTCCACAAAAGCCACAGGGAAAGATACTTTTTTACTCTATTCTTTAGATTCTTTACAATCATTTTCCATTTGAGCAACACCATCTAGTGGTGAATAGTTATACTAATTAGTTACACTTCTCACTGCTAGGTGGCGCTGTAATTTATTATCGGTCATTGACCAAGCTGCAAAAAGAAGTGCACCACCCATGTTTATAAAAGCGCATCTAAAAAATGGAAAAGTCTAGGTAGACCCATTCACGGTCTAGACCACAACTACTGCACTGTATCCAGATAAATTTAGCAGTCTATTTTAATCTTACAGATGACTATAATATTGTGCAATAAGAAACACTGTTGTGCCGTACGGCTGATGCAATATTTTTAAAACTTACCTAGAGAAATAGCAATTTAAGGACTAATTTTATAATAATAAAATTATACATAGATCCGAAAATACACGAAAGCGGTAGCCCCAGGTTTGATTCCAGCATCAGTGTGCCCAATAAAAAATCGTAAGCAAAGGGGATTTTGAAAGAAAATGTAGGTCTAATATGCCGATAGCCTTTTTAAACGAATTAATTCTTTCACGGTGAGGAAGAATAAACGAACGGTAGGTAGGTAAATATAGACCGGTATAGTTACTTATTAGATTTCGTTAGCCTAATCCATAAAGCGATTTACCGCTGATTTAAAAGCGACATTGTTACCTCTCCATCCAAAGTTCCGTCACTTACCACTCTTGAATAAGCTAATATGAGTAGGTATTCCTGAATAATAGATCAATACTCAACACAGCCCGAAAATTCATATTATTCAGATCTTTGCGAGCACTTACTTGCTGCTGCCTTACTCTATTCCTTGCAACCTCCTCAACGGCCTAACGCGACAACGAGAGTATTAGTAATGTGTGAAATAACAAATTACTAATAAACTTTTTTAAAAAATCTTCTCAACTGCTCCAGCGGTTACGATCCATATGCACAGCGTCAAAACGCACATGTTGACTCTTCCACCGAGTCATCAGAAATGCGTAAGGTGCACTGGCAGCTGTCGTGATACTAGCATTATAATATAATATGCTGCAGATACCTTACGCTAAAGGAAATCGGAGCTTCAGGTATACCTCAAACGTTCGCAGCACGGTTCCGTACGGGAAAAACTTTGCGTTAAAATGATTTACTTGGAAATGTTTGATGAATCGAACCTCTCATGAGTATATCACATTAAAGGGCACTTATAGAAAATACACTTTCTTAGGCGCCCCTTTACCATACCATAGAACGATCCTCTTATCAAGGGGGCCGATCGTTAAGAGGACCGAGCTACCTTAGATAGAGTGACTAACTAAGTACACTAACTACTTACAGCTGCAGCTGTATGTGACTAAAGACAACTCATATTTTCCACATGCTTAAATCGGAAAAGATTTCACAAAAAATTTGAAATGAAGACTATATTATTACAATAAATTAACAACCCCATTGATTAGTTAGGTAGGTACTTTATCACGTCTCAGTGTGGTATTATTGAAATCTATTATACTACCTAATCCCATTCCAGAAATGTAAAATCTTCGCTAATCCAATTGCGTGGGAACCCTAAACCAGATCATCCACAAATAATTACTTAAACAATTACTCGCCCTCGCCAACAAAGAAAACCAACAATGTGTTTAAGAAACCCATTACTACTTGCGAATCGCGTCAATGCTACGTATACGGGACCCAGGGAGGGGGCCACTGTGTCGGTTATAAAGATACGGGTAAAGATTCAAACTCCAGTTAACATTTGGATATTGAAGTGACGGTTGTAGAAAAATATTTCAAAAATGGCAAAACTTACGATTGTAGTGACGTTGGCCATCTTGTGCGTCGTTACATCTAAACCATTGGAAAGTTATGAAAACATAATGGGTGAGTATTGTCTTCGTTCGTTGTTTCAGCCAAATGACGTCCACAGCTGGACAAAGGCCTCCCCCAAGGTTTTCCGCAATAAACGGTCCTTTGCTGCCCGCATCCAGGCTCCTCCTGCGGCCTTTACCAGATCGTCAGTCCACCTAGTGGGAGGCCTGCCCACGCTTCGTCTTCCAGCCCGTCTTATTGTCTTATGCTCTCCATTTCCATAATATACTAAGACCCCTACTCTAATATGACCATGGTCTTCGGATTCAGACGCAGAACTCAGTATCGCACCAGCTCACAGCGTCCAGAAAAGATTCATCAACCCTGCTCTGACGTCGGGCGCCTTCGACGACAGTGGATTCAGCAAAATGAGGACTAAGCGAAGGTAACTTAAACATTCAATATAGGTTTAATTTACTATTTATTCGTTTTCCTTTAGCTTGTTACGTAATTACATATTTAACCTTTTGTATACTCTTGTGTAGCGAGGACGAGTGCGAGAAACTGCAACTATGCAAGCTTCACGCGCGCTCCAGGCAGAACTTCATAGCGGCATTTGAACTCTACTTTGTCAAGTAAGCATAATATTTAATTGTAACACATCCCATACAAAAGATGAAGATATTTTTTTTATCTTCATCTTTTGTATGGAATCTGTCAAAATGCCTTCAAGTTTTGATAAAGACACACAGACGTTAGGTAGGTAATATAGCTACTTGTACAAGTTACCTACTTATTTATCTTGTTTCTGTCCCTGTTCATAGTCAATTTCCAATTCTCTAGGTTATAAACTTTACCGCATCAATCTTTATTTAACTGTGCTAATGATTATTTATTTCAAACAGCCGAGAGAACGCGAGGCTCTGGGACCACAGAGCGCGGTCCATGGCCGAGTGTGAGCAGCGCTTCAACTGCTACGACAGATGATGGAATGCCTGACCTTACTGTAGCTTATTATCTAAATTATTTTAGTAATTGGTAATTAGTTAAGATATATTCACTTTGACAAGTGGCGTGTACTTGGCAATTCTTTTCGTGGACATTTTGTATGACCACGCAACGTATGAGACCGCATTCATACAAACTTCATACACCCCATGTCAATGTGAATATCTTTAATTGAGATCTGGAAGATGATTTTATTCGATTTCTAGATATTTAATAATAAAACATGAAATAAAAGACTTATTGTTTAACAATCCGTTTTATTTCTCACTTTGACAGGAAAATCAAACATCACCACAAAATATAAATGCATAAACCACAATTAAAATAAAACCAACAAACACTTTAAAATAAATACACCATACACACCACATTACTAAAAATCTTTTCTTAATTTTACATTATTACTTAATTTAATTCGTATATAGTTTTGGTAACAAATAAACTGTTTTTCTTAGTATCAACTGAAGATGGAATGTCAACGTTAGTTAATTTTATATACATTTTAAAATTTGCGACTTGTTCGTTTCTTCAAAATACTGAAATAATGCGCATACTTATACAATGAATGACACGACATGTATCTGTCTGAAATTACGATATGATCAAATAAGATAAACTTAAATAAATAATTTAGATCAATACATATTAATTTGATATACCTACAAAGAGGGTGTAAAGGCCCTGGATAAATACTATCATAAGTTGACAAAGTACAAACACTAGGACTCAAATTAATATGATTCACAGTATTTAAGAAAGAAAAGCAATGCTTCTTTCGCAGTTGTTCGTTTTCATTATTTTAAACATTGGATTGTAGAAGGCAAAAAACTAACACAACAACAGACACCATATTCATTCAATTTGGTACATTTAATAAAAAATATCTTTTTAAAACAGGTTCTCCTATGAACCAATTCGTCAGTTCAAAATCTACGTCAATTTTCGCCATTGATTTGTAACAAGTTGGTTCGACGTAGTGTTGACGAATCACGTGACAATTTAATACGAGAAGGCGTAGTAAATTATTGCACTATGACACAGTTTATTCAAGTAAGCCGTATTTTGTCTCGGGAGTGTCCTTGAGTTAGTAACAATGTCACTCGGTACGTTCGTCCACGAACTCTAGTTATACAGTAACACAGAATAATTTTGTGCTACATGGTTATTTAAAACATTTGAACGGGTACGAGTAAGTGAGGCGTATGCTTAAAAAAGTGAGTCGTTCTTACGTCCCGACATAAAACAAAGGCACTCACACCTAGCACGTCTGTAACCGTGGTGTTCTCACGTATCTAACACCCAGCCGTATTTACAAACGATGTTTACTCTGAGATTGGTTCGTATGTGTCACTCCGCCACTCAAGTATTGTCTATGAATAGGTTTTTGGGACCCTGTGCGTCCACGTGCAATGTGAAACCACATAGTAATGTTTGTGAATACGGGTGTATGAATAGCAACAATTCGAAATCTTAAACGCGTCAATTTAGTCTGTATGAAGATGTAATAATACTGCTTACTCAATAACTGCATCTCTCAGTGTAAACCTGCGTCCACTCACAGCGCTTTCTTCTTAGGAACCCTCTTCCCGGGCACGTTAAGGCCGGGAATCCCCTCGGGGCGTTCGGGCACTTCGGATCGCGCGCGCGGCTTGGGCGCGGCGCGTGCTAGGGACAACGCACGTGCTAGGAGCGCGTCGCGGTGCAAATACATCACAGCTAGGAGCCCTAGGAGCGGGACCACTAGCAGTGATGTCTGACGAAGCTCCTGCTCGGATGATTTTACCTGGGGAGAGGTGCTTTTGGTTAACCTTTGGCGTGCTATTGAGCCGCGCAAAACTGCACCCCCAACTGCTACGGTTTTCAAATGATGTTTCAAAATGACCAAAGTAGTCTTGTCTTAGATCTGAGACAAAGAAGTTGACAGAGGTTGCACAGATATGAGAAAAAGCATAGGAGAGGTTAACGACGGCAGAAAATCTTAGGCCGAGTCAAAAATCTATCAATTTCCATACAAAAAGCACAAGTTACTGTCACAGTTAGGCCCAGAACAAACGGTGAAACGCAACTGCAACGAAACTGCAACTGCTAGTTACTTTTGAGTTGCATCTAAGTTTCTGCCATAGCGTCCGTTGAGAGACCAGACATGACGCGACCAGTTTGAAACTTTCAGTTTCAGTTTCATTCATAAGAATCATCAGAAAGTTGCAGTTTCATTGCAGTTGCGTTTCACCGTCTGTTCTGGGCCTTAAGGTTAAAGTAAGTTGGTGCAACTCAGCCTTAGCGAAATGTATTTTTAAACCTTGATTACGCATAAATGAAATCGTGTTTCAATACGGATAATTTGGAATGCTAATGTTTCAATCAAACATGAAACAATAACAAATGGAAACATTGGGCACATATCCAGCAAGTTTTATGTCTAAAAATATTTTCTTTAGTTGAGTCAGATACTCTTATAAAATACAGATTTCATCCTATACGGTTATTTATCATGACGTCCAATGGCAAAGACGTCAATGCATGTCGTATTATCCCACAAAATCTTTAAATAAACACATACATTATTAACGTTAATCCTTTGTTAAAATACAATATGGTATATCCAAAACTAGTTTCGAGTCAATCCACGCGGGCGTAACGTGACCGACATTCGTGTTCCCATCCGTTTAATAATATCATAACAATAGTTATAGCAAATAAATAATCACGTGTCTTTACCCACGTGTGTGTTAGCTTTTTATACTTCGAACAAGACAATATTTGATCCCATCAAAAACAATACTTGTCAAAAAAACCAAGTCTCGCAACTCAGTTGTTCTACGGTAAAAAGTTGTGAGATCCATGTAATACCAAGTCCAGGCCAGGAAATCTTTAACGTTTTACATAAATTATTGACTTGGCCATCGCACTAAATAATTTAATTTACACGTGTTTTCATGCGATGGCCAAGTCAATATATTTATGTAAAACGTTAAAGATTTCCTGGCCTGGACTTGGTATTACATGGATCTCACAACTTTTTACCGTAGAACAACTGAGTTGCGAGACTTGGTTTTTTTGACAAGTATTGTTTTTGATGGGATCTCATTTCTTTTTGTATTTTGTAGACAGCAGTTATGTATCTAGAAAACTGGACCGAAATTGAAAAATTTTACTCGACTTGGCGGTTGCACTACCGTGCCCCCAAATATTTTAGTTTTTCCTTGATTCATACACCAAACACTACTTATATTCCAAATTTGAAGCTTCTAGGTCTGCTAGAAGTGCCTTAGAGTTTTGATGATCGGTGAGTCAGTGAGTCAGTGAGTGACAAAATTAAGTAACTTTGACCCGTTATAATTCTTAAACTACTGGTTCAAATTGAATGAAATTTTAAATATACCGTGTCTTTACAATGCCTGCATAGCTAATGAAAATTCAGCCTTCTAGTTTTATCCACAACGAAGTTACAGGCGGTCGAAAATGGCCTGAATTGCTTCGAGAAAAGGATGGTACGGCCGTGCCGCTTTTTTGCTCGACTTGGTGGGGGCACTGCCGTGCCCCCAGATAAAGTTATTTTTAAACCGAAAATAAACCTAATCTGTATTTTATAAAACGTAATATCTTTTCATAGTCCAGTAGAATTAGCTTTTAAATCGGAAATAATTCCTACAAAAGATTTTATTGTTTTAATGGCTTCATTGGTTGCCCATTAAGACTCTCCTAAGTTTTCGACTTCGATGGAGTTGTGCTTAAGTGGTGGGGGCCCCCGAAAGAGGCATTTTTTCGGTTTTCCGGTTATACCGCGTAAAGGACTTACCCTATCAAAAAGTGGTCTTCATGACGGTTAAAGGCACTTAATCCTGCATTGAATAAGACCAAATTCATATGTTTTGGTTTGTCCAAAACATATGAATTTGGTCTTATTCAATGCAGGATTAAGTGCCCTTCAACCGTCATGAAGACCACTTTTACTTAAGGGGGTGCAGCGCGGACGAAAAACTACGACTTGATAGCCGAGCTAGCGGTGGCGCAACGAACTAACACGATCGCACACAAACTGCTTTACAGAGTAGAGACAAAAAAGACTCAACACAGAGTAAAAACACGTATTTTCACTAATTTTGCTAAGCAAAAAGTGAATTTATAATTCATAAAGGATGGTTAAATAANTGCATTAACACCAAAAACGAATAAGGGGGCGACCTTCAAAATATTAATTTGAACATTTCCATATAAGAATTATTGCTTCATACGTTAAATTAACAAAGTTCTCGAAGAAATAAATTTTCCATATGTCTCCATTTTAAATGTTGTTTATCAATTTTTTACGTATTTATTTAAAATTTCGAAAAGGCGGCGACCTAGAGCTACCCTAAACAAGTTCATTTGATGAATTTAAGTCACTAATCGCAGAGCACTCGTGATTTAAAAATATGTCAATTTTAAAGATTCTGTGCAGGACCCCCTTAACTTAACTTAGGAGAGTCTTAATGGGCAACCAATGAAGCCATTAAAGCAAAAAAATCTTTTGTAGGAATTATTTCCGATTTAATCAATTTTTGTGTTTAATTCTACTGGCCTATCATAACACAGAAAATTTTGACTGCATAAACATGGAAATTTGTATTTGCAAGTGAATAAGTAGGGTAAACCGTATAGCTATTGCCCACTTAAAGATTTCAAACACATTGAGATGAAAAATTAAAGAAAGTATTTTAATTATCGACCATTTATGACTTTTTTCTTATAACTCAATAAACTGTTAAACAGAATATTAACAGTTTTTAGTTAAAACTTACGTAACTTAGAAAATATTGAAATAAATTTAAAATCCTCCAAAAAGTACAGTCATTGCCCATTACTTACACTAATTGCCCACATCAAAGCACAGTAATTGCCCAGTATCTTAAAACAAAATAATCAATTTTAAAATGACAAAATAGGCTTTAAATAAACAAAACAAAACATCAAACTTAAATTCTAGTAGTACAGTCTTCATCAAAATAAATTACGTTTGGCCTTATTAACATATTATCAAATATTTCTTGAGCTGATGTTGATGAGTCAGAATCGGTAGAGACAGAATCATCTCTACTTCAAAACATAGATGACGCAAAAATTTGAATTTTATATGTAAATTTTATATGTATTTATTTTTTTATCTTCTTTGATATCAGTTCAAGTGGTTGCTCAGAATGTTCAATTAGCTGTTGGTTATTCTTCCCTAAAGGTGTATCTATTTCCTTACAATTAACATTTTCACTAGTAGATTTAAGGTAGGATTTTCATTTTTTGTATTTGCGTTTGAATTTTTATAAATTTTTTCAAGCCAAACCATATTTTTCAGCAATTTATCTTGTAGATAAATTGTTGGATACATCTTGTACAGCTTTGATCGCTTTTTGCAAATTTTCCATGCTATATTGAACTTTTGGAGTCTTTGGCATACTGAAAATGAAACATTAAAAGCCATTTTAATATTTATGCCTGTAAATTGCAAAACAAGTCTATCAATGAGCAACTTAAACACTGCTACTGCATGGTGGCAACACTCTAATAATAATTGCTCTGGGCAATAACTATACATTAACATATGGCAATAACTGAAATGATGGTGGGCAATAACTAAAAATATACAGATTTACGTGCAGTGATTACCCACCGTTAAAATGACCGTTAGAAATCAAATTTTATCAGTTATTTTCATTGATAATGGAGAAAACACTTATAATTTCATCATGACTATACACCATTAGTTGAATATTAAGTGACTTGCAAAAAAAATTTAACCTCTAAGCAAGTAACTCCTTAGTAAAATTGTTAAAGTCTTTACCAGTTTGAGTAACATTTTCACCCGTCTTGACAAAATCCGCCATAACTGTTTTTTTAGACTTCCTATTGTAAATTTTAAATCTACTGTAACTACATTGATCTCGGAGCCATCTACTTAGTAAATTCAAATCTAACTAGAGTGATTCAAAATCAGCACCTGACAATATTATTCTTAAAGCGGGCAATCACTACCAGTGGGCAATCACTCTCTGGTTTACCCTATGTATATTTTAATATTTTTAGACACGCTCATTTTAAATTTGATCCTCACTTACAGTCAGATGAGATGAGATTGTATTGAGTTGAAAATGTACGGTTACTTTTGACGCCAAAAGTTAGCGTTAGGTTCGAAATAAGACTGAGAAAGACTAATGGTAGTTAAAGGTTATTTTCAGAACTATGAGAAAGTTCTAAAGCGATTGACGGAGCACCAGACTTTAGTGGGTATGTATCATCCTTCTGACTTAGTGTTCCCCACATAACCCACCTTGTCCTAAGTACACATTATGCGATTTTATACATAGAACTTGGAGTGCAGGTGTGGTTTTGTTCCCCAGTCGACGACGCACATGCTGACAACGCCATTCTTGTAGCGGAGTTTTGGGCCGACGCTGTGTAGGTTTTTTGTCGACACCACAAGAAGAAGAAGCATGAAATCGCATAATTGCATAAAAAGGTTTGAACTAACCTTAGGCAGGAACTCGATGAAGAAGCTCTTGAATCCGCCATCGGAGTTGAAGTAAATGGCGGTGTCATCGTACGAGTGCGTACTCTTGGATAAAGTGGATTCGAGTTGTAGCACGTATGTCTTGTTGTCGGCAGGCAGGCGCGGCAGCGTGTAGGCAAGCCCCGGGTTCGATTGCTGGCTGTAGCTGGAATGAGAGACATCATTTGTTGAGTTATTATTGTGTTATACCATAGGCAGTGCTTGCTAAGAAGAACTATGTATGTATTTGAGTTTTATTGTAGTCGGCATGAAGTGATATTACGACCAGTGATAGCGCAAGCAGTTGTGTGTTCAAGAGTTATATGATTAGTGACTGTTATACAAAATCGCATGAATTTCCATTTCAGAGATTCAATGATTCCACCTTCGGCCTGATCATCACTTACCATCAGGTGAGATACAGGCCATGAGCTTCCTCGTTGTGGATAAAAAAAGAACATTGTCGTTTATTATTGTCATATTTACAGGATGAGGAACGGCCGGTTTGAGCTTTAAACTGGGTAATTTTTCCGCATTTAAGCTTCGGCAGCTCTTTTAAATTTCGTGTAGTATAGTGTATGTTGTTGTTATTACTTCTCCTGTATTTCGTTCGGATAGTACTTATCACTTACCCAACAGAGTCCAGCTTGACGGTATAAACAGGCGAGTGTGGCGCGGCCTCAGGTGCCAGCATAAGCTTTAATGTCTTGTAGTGCTCCACCGAGGGCGTGCGGACCACCTCACCACCTAAGACTGTTGACTTACTTTATGCTCCCTTGGTATTTAGCTCGCCTAGCCCGCTCGCTGATCGCTCACTGGGCCTCGACGAACATCGAATCACCCATTGGGTTTGTTGTACCGCATAACTAACATTCTCGATGCCTTTGAATTTCCCCTGTAGTTCGTATAAAGCCTGGTCTGTAAGCACGTATAATTTTACTTGCACGTACCCCAAGCTACCCATCCTTATCGCTTGCACGTAATTATGTTGCTGTCGCGCTCGCACACTCACTGCGGGCGCCCGTCGCACATTCGCGACAGCAATATAATGAGGGCTATCGTTTTTATACTTAACAGTTGGCACCCCTGGCGATTGACAGGACCTTCCTCTACAGTGGCGCTATCTTGATGAGTGCAAATGCGATAGTCCTCCTACCACTTTAGCGCTCACCAGTTGGTGCCACTGTCTTCGCTACTAGCAAGTGACAGGACCTTACTCTACAGTAGCGCTAACTGGTGAGCGCTAAAACGATAGCCCTCATTACGCGCGAGCGATAAGGATGGGTAGCTTGGGGTCATTGTACAAAATTCAACGTGCTCGCAGACCAGACTATAGTACTAGCACTCACCCAGCGGAGTCCAGCTTGACGGTGTAAACAGGCGAGTGCGGCGCGGCTTTGGGTGCAAGAGTCAGCTTGAGTGTCTTGTAGTACTCCACCGAGGGCGTGCGGACGACGACGCCGCCGTCTGTAAGCTGTGCCGGCTGGATCGCTATCAGACGGTCTTTCTCTATCGCCCGTATTCACAAACATTACTATGAGGTCGCACAGTGCGCGTGGACGCACAGGGTGACACACGAACCAATCACAGAGCTCTATTCAACGCTGTGCGTTCAATTTGCTGCTTCACTTAAGCAAGTATCGTTTGTGAATACGGGCGTATATCTTTTGTCTTTCTCCTGTACTGTGTACTTACCCAGCGGAGTCCAGTTTGACGGTGCGTCGGGTCACTCGGGTGTGTCCTCGGGCGCTAGCGTAAGAGAGATGCCACAAGAGTGTTACGTTGCGGTGCGTCGCCGCAGCGGTGTCGCAGCGATCGTCGTGCAACGATCATCGCATTGATTAGGCAGACGTTCTCGATGTCTTTATCGTCTTTTTCTTGTAATTCATATACCTAGTATTATACTTACCCAGCAGAGTCCAGCTTGACGGTGTAGACGGGCGAGTGTGGCGCGGCTTCAGGTGCCAGAGTCAGCTTGAGTGTCTTGTAGTGCTCCACCGAGGGCGTGCGGACGACGACGCCGCCGTCTGTAAGCTGTGCCGGCTGGATCGCTATCAGACGGTCTTTCTCTATATCTTTTGTCTTTCTCCTGTACTTTGTACTTACCCAGCGGAGTCCCGTTTGACGGTGCGTGGGGCGTGTCCTCGGGCGCTAACGTAAGAGAGATGCCATAAGAGCGTTACGTTGCGGTGCGTCGCCGCAGCGGTGTCGCAGCGATCGTCGTCCAACGACCATTTCAGGATCGCGATTAGGCGGACGTTCTGGAAGTCTTGGTCATCTTTCCTCTACTGTAGTTTCTATAGTACTTATCTCTTACCCAGCAGAGTCCAGCTTGACGAGTCGAGTGCCAGAGTAAGCTGTAGTGTCTTGTAGTGGATCGCTATAAGGCGGACGCTCCACGGATAGCTATATGGCGTACGTTCTCGATGTCTTTCACTTGTACTACATATAGTACTTATGACTTACCCAGCGGAGTTTAGCTTGACGGTATAAACAGGCGAGTGTGGCGCGGCCTCGGGCGCCAGAGTGAACTTTAACGTCTTGTAGTGCTCCACCGAGAGCGTGCGGACGACCACACCACCTAACTGTTGACTTACTTTATGCTCCCCTGGTATTTAGCTCGCCTAGCCCGCTCGCTGATCGCTCACTGGGCCTCGACGAACATCGAATCACCCATTGGGTTTGTTGTACCGCATGATTGACATTCTCGATGCCTTTGAATTTCCCCTGTAGTTCGTATAAAGCCTGGTCTGTAAGCACGTAGAATTTTGTCCAATGACCCCAAGCTACCCATCCTTATCGCTCGCACGTAATTATGTTGCTGTCGCGCTCGCACACTCACTGCGGGCACCCGTCGCACAGTCGCGACAGCAATATAATGAGGGCTATCGTTTTTATACTTAACAGTTGGCACCCCTGGCGATTGACAGGACCTTCCTCTACAGTGGCGCCATCTTGATGAGTGCAAATGCGATAGTCCTCCTACCACTTTAGCGCTCACCAGTTGGTGCCACTGTCTTCACTACTAGCAAGTGACAGGACCTTACTCTACAGTGGCGCTAACTGGTGAGCGCTAAAACGATAGCCCTCATTACGCGCGAGCGATAAGGATGGGTAGCTTGGGGTCATTGGACAAAATTCTACATTCTACGTGCTCGCAGACCAGACTATAGTACTAGCGCTTACCCAGCAGAGTCCAGCTTGACTGTGTAGACAGGCGAGTGTGGCGCGGCCTCGGGCGCCAGCGTAAGCTTTAATGTCTTGTAATGCTCCACAGAGGGCGTGCGGACGACCACACCACCTAAGACTGTTGACTTACTTTATGCTCCTTTGGTATTTAGCTCGCCTAGCCCGCTCGCTGATCGCTCACTGGGCCTCGACGAACATCGAATCACCCATTGGGTTTGTTGTACCGCATAACTGACATTCTCGATGCCTTTGAATTTCCCCTGTAGTTCGTATAAAGCCTGGTCTGTAAACACGTAGAATTTTGTCCAATGACCCCAAGCTACCCATCCTTATCGCTCGCGCGTAATTATGTTGCTGTCGCGCTCGCACACTCACTGCGGGCGCCCGTCGCACAGTCGCGACAGCAATATAATTACGCGCGAGCGATAAGGATGGGTAGCTTGGGGTCATTGGACAAAATTCTACGTGCTTACAGACCAGACTATAGTACTAGCGTTTACCCAGCGGAGTCCAGCTTGACGGTGTAGACAGGCGAGTGTGGCGCGGCCTCAGGTGCCAGAGTAAGCTTTAATGTCTTGTAGTGCTCCACCGAGGGCGTGCGGACCACCACACCACCTAAGACTGTTGATTCACTTTATGCTCCCCTGGTATCTAGCTCGCCTAGCCCGCTCGCTGATCGCTCACTGGGCCTCGACGAACATCGAATCACATATTGGGTTTGTAGTACCGCGTCATAGGCGGGACAATTGGACATTCTTGATGCCTTTGAATTTCCCCTGTAGTTCGTATAAAGCCTGGTCTGTAAGCACGTAGAATTTTGTCCAATGACCCCAAGCTACCCATCCTTATCGCTCGCGCGTAATTATGTTGCTGTCGCGCTCGCACACTCACTGCGGGCGCCCGTCGCACAGTCGCGACAGCAATATAATGAGGGCTATCGTTTTTATACTTAACAGTTGGTACCCCTGGCGATTGACAGGACCTTCCTCTACAGTGGCGCCATCTTGATGAGTGCAAATGCGATAGTCCTCCTACCACTTTAGCGCTCACCAGTTGGTGCCACTGTCTTCGCTACTAGCAAGTGACAGGACCTTACTCTACAGTGGCGCTAACTGGTGAGCGCTAAAACGATAGCCCTCATTACGCGCGAGCGATAAGGATGGGTAGCTTGGGGTCATTGGACAAAATTCTACGTGCTCGCAGACCAGACTATAGTACTAGCGCTTACCCAGCGGAGTCCAGCTTGACGGTGTAGACAGGCGAGTGTGGCGCGGCCTCAGGTGCAAGAGTAAGCTTGAGTGTCTTGTAGTGCTCCACCGAGGGCGTGCGGACCACCATACCACCTAAGACTGTTGACTTACTTTATGCTCCCCTGGTATTTAGCTCGCCTAACCCGCTCGCTGATCGCTCACTGGGCCTCGACGAACATCGAATCACATATTGGGTTTGTAGTACCGCGTCATAGGCGGGACAATGGGACATTCTTGATGCCTTTGAATTTCCCCTGTAGTTCGTATAAAGCCTGGTCTGTAAGCACGTAGAATTTTGTCCAATGACCCCAAGCTACCCATCCTTATTGCCTTACCCCTCGCGCGTAATTATGTTGCTGTCGCGCTCGCACACTCACTGCGGGCGCCCGTCGCACAGTCGCGACAGCAATATAATTACGCGCGAGCGATAAGGATGGGTAGCTTGGGGTCATTGGACAAAATTCTACGTGCTCGCAGACCAGACTATAGTACTAGCGCTTACCCAGCGGAGTCCAGCTTGACGGTGTAGACAGGCGAGTGTGGCGCGGCCTCAGGTGCAAGAGTAAGCTTGAGTGTCTTGTAGTGCTCCACCGAGGGCGTGCGGACAACCACACCACCTAAGACTGTTGACTTACTTTATGTTCCCTTGGTGTCTAGCTCGCCTAGCCCGCTCGCTGATCGCTCACTGGGCCTCGACGAACATCAAATCACATATTGGGTTTGTAGTACCGCGTCATAGGCGGGACAATGGGACATTCTTGATGCCATTGAATTTCCCCTGTAGTTCTTATACGAACAGAACAGACCAGGCTTTATACAGCCTGGTCTGTAAGCACGTAGAATTTTGTCCAATGACCCCAAGCTACCCACCCTTATCGCTCGCATGTAATTATGTTGCTGTCGCGCTCGCACACTCACTGCGGGCGCCCGTCGCATAGTCGCGACAGCAATATAATTACGCGCGAGCGATAACGATGGGTAGCTTGGGGTCATTGGACAAAATTCTACGTGCTCGCAGACCAGACTATAGTACTTATGACTTACCCAGCGGAGTCCAGCTTGACGGTGTAGACGGGCGAGTGCGGCGCGGCTTCAGGTGCCAGAGTCAGCTTGAGTGTCTTGTAGTGCTCCACCGAGGGCGTGCGGACGACGACGCCGCCGTCTGTCAGTTGTGCCGGTTGAATCGCTATCAGGCGGACGTTCTCGATGTCTTTGTTGTCTTTCACCTGCGACATATTTATTCAACTTCAGTATTTATCCTACTTAATATTATAAATGCGAAAGTTTGGATGTCTGGATGTTTGTTACTCTTTCACGCAAAAACTACTGAACGGATTTTGTTGAAACTCTACGGTATTATAGTTTGTAACCCAGATTAACATATAGGCTATAATTTATGCCGATCTGTGACACTAAATTTCACGCGGGTGAAGCCGCGGGCAGAAGCTATAATACAATAATGCGTATTGATTAAAGCTAAAGCTGCGTGACGCATGTCTGTATCAAAAAATAGTATGAGCAGCGCAGTGTGACGCGAAAGTGTGCGACTGATTTTCATTCCGCTCTGTGAGGCTACTCCGAAAAACGCAATCCGAAGTTCGTACATTTCCATCCCTCTCACACAAAGCGAGGTGCCAACAAGAGCAACAGTGACAAATATCTGAAACTACGAAAACCGCATTTCGAAGTAAATGTAGACCCTTGGGATCTCATGATGCCATTTCGTTAGAAAAGCAATCTAAGAATTTCGTTTACTCATTGTTATTGTTCAAAGTATAATAATATTCGTGTAGGTAGTACGCACCTCTAAGGTAGGCGGCGCTTTAGCCAATTTGAGCCCGGCGAGCTCGGGCGTGGAGGATTCCTTCAGCTGGAGTGTGTACACGCAGTTTGGCAAGAGACCACGGATTCTGTCAATTTAATAAATAATACATTTATAGCCTGACCAGGAACATAAAAACCCTCGCAATGTTGCGGAAAACTAATGGTACTAATTTCTTTTAATGGCAACAGTAACTGAAAACTTCATTGACATGTCACCTTGCATGTCAGTCTATTGCTGTCAAAGTGTAAACAAACTTTATTTTAAATGTGCACAATTGATTTTGTGAATTAAATTGCTAAAATCTTTTTATAGTCGTGAAAGAAAAGTGGTTCACAATGTGTTAAAGTATTCATCGAAGAGAAATACTAAGGGTTCGGACAATATTTTCATTGAATAATGTTTCCGACAAAGGTTGTCAAATTGACTGACATGTTTATCGTATAGTACAGTCCACTATGAAAATTAGCTGTGGTTTGTTTCAAATACCTATTTTAAAGTTTTTTGTCACTTGAATTTTATGGAATTGGGAAAGAAGTACCGAGTTTGAAGCGTTCATGAGCAGACATTGCAGTTGAATATTCAAGATCTGAATTTGATTATTGATGAATAATAAAATAAATCCTACTAAATCGATTGATGGTTTCATTTAATTTATTTAAACCAGGTTACCTATAATAATATTTTTTCGTTAATTTATGAAAATATCAAATTAGCCCGTAATCCTGAATCCTGATACATAAAGTTAGCCTATTAATTTAACACAGGTACGACTGTACTCAGTGTTGCACTATCAAATGCAATTGACGCGCCTCTATGCCAGGGTTTTTATGTTCCTGGTCAGGCTATAAAATGCACACATATTTTAAATATTGTAATTATAATGTTTAAATTATTTTAGTTTGCTAGGTATTTAAATTAGCAACTGAAATAATTAAACTGAATAAATAGTTTTCGCGTGAAAATGTCTGTCTACAGTCGAGATGCAATAGCATAACAAAGGTTAAAAAAGGTATAGTTATTGCAATTCACGAAGGCGAAGCTTTACTGTGTCGTTACTGTTTATTTTTCAAAAGTTATGATAGACAGTACACTCTTCGTTATGTGCATGCACACGTACACACACAAGTAAAGCTCATTCACTTTCGTGAGTTGCAAAAACTATAAATAGATAAACATAGTAGGAACGTTAATCGATTTTCCAACATTTTGTTGTAAGTAGTCTAAGGATTTTGGACTAAATAAAAAAAAATCTTTCATTCTTTCAACACAATCTGGCCGTTTGGTGTAGTGGTTCAAAACGGACTACTATTCCGGAGGTTGCGGGTTCGATTCCCGCACAGTACAAACATTTGTGTGCATGAACATATTTGTTTGTATTGGACTGGGTGTTTTCTATGTATTTACAAAAAAAAATATTTAAGTATATTTTATCCGTTGTTTAGTACCCATAGTACAAGCTTTGTTTAGTTTGGTACTAGAAGCATAGTGTAAAAATGTCCAAGGATATTAATTATTATATTATTATTATTAGTAATACTTTTTCAAACACAGTAACTGATTAACGGCCCAACTAAATATTCCAACATGCCATTGTTTCAGCTCAAGCCTAGCCCAGCCCACGGTGCACGTACCTGAAAGCCCCATTGGCTTCGGTGGTGGCTTCCTCCACGGCGCAGTGGGGCTCCGCCCCGGTCGGCACGGCGGCCAGCAGCGCGCCCGCGCGGCCCGCGCCGCCCAGCGACACTAGCGAGCCAACGCATGACCAGGCTACGCGCACGCCTCTGATGGGAGGTTGATAAGGTAAGTGACGAGACTAGGGGGTCTGATGTTGGGACGATGCAACAGGGGATTTGGTGTTGTAATTGTCCCATTGTTGAAATAGGGAATATACACGATTTCTTTGTTATTAAATAACCTTCGCATTTTCAAGTCATCCAGTTTCTATAACAAAAAACGTAAAAACACCAAAGACTAAAACGCCACGTTAGAACGGAACGCAGAGTCCCATATAATGGACATGGCGCACAATTTTTGTTGAAGATGCCAAAAAAAACTACAAAAAATTAGAATGAATACTGTATTTTTACTTTTTTGATATCTTTAAAAATGACTGAAATATTCAAGCTCAAAGTGCGCTCTTCCGCTAGGAGCGATTTTCCGCGCGGATTTTGAAAATGTGACGTAGTAACATGAAAAGCTGCATGTAAGATATTATCTGTGTACAATGGTTAGAATGGTTAGTAGGGGAGCCGAAGCGGGGATTTCGGGATTTTTTTCAATAAGGCGGGCGCGCGCGCGGCTATAAACGAGGTCACAAAATTCGGAAAGAACATAGCGAAATCTATTTATTCACCAATTTTCAAAAATTCCGGAAAACTTTCCAAGTAAAATTAACAAATAACTGGACTATTTACTCGTTATTGAGCACAGAGACAAAAACTTGGTTATTTTTCCAGAAAATTTATATTGAAGTGCATAAATGTAAAAATGGCTTCATAGTGCACAAAACTGGCAATAGGTGGCATAATAATGGTTACTTTTTTAGCGCCTAGTTTGAAATGTGATTAAACGATGACAACTAACAACAGTTGTCAGTTAGGTAAAATTTTATTTTAGTTGGAAAAAGACAAAAAGTGGTAAATGGGTTAACGTGCGGGGGCTGCAAAATCATGTTGTGACGTCACGCGCGAATATTGGAAATTTTTGAAAATTTTAAAAAGTCCGTAAACTTCTCGAGGCTCTATCTTCGGTAATACTGGATGGATTGAGGTGAAATAAAAACTAGTGTAATGTGTGTGATCTAAACTTTAAATTAAGTCATAATTTAACTTAATATTACAACTTATGCGTGTTGTCCATTATAAATCACTAGCTTTTGCCCACGGCTTCGCCCTCGTGGATTTCAGTTTGTCACAATCACAAATCATTATATCATTTCCCTGTTTATAAGTTCCGTAACTGACTCTTTAGATTATGAATATTATAGACCTAGCGCATAGCTGTATCAATTCCTGAGTGTTTTTGTGACGTCAACAGACTTGTATACTCTGCCACGTCATGTTATATTACCTCGCTTCTCCGGCGCCGCTCCCATTGCAATATTTCTAGGCCACGTACTGGAAAACGCAACATGGGACGACAAGGTGGACCGACGACCTGATAAGGATAGCAGGAAGGCGCTGGATGCAAGCCGCTTCCAACCGTGCGATGTGGAAGTCATTGGGGGAGGCCTATGTTCAGCAGTGGACATCCTATGGCTGAAATGATGATGATAATGGTGATGATAACTACCTGAGCGCGAGATGGTGCGAGTGTCCCTCAGGCAGTGCCACGATAGTGTGTGGCGGCGTGAAGCGGTACTCCTTCATGTTGGGCTTGACGTAGTACTGGTAACAGGCCTGTTCATCCCCCGAGTACGCATCGAAAACAAAACACGCGCGACGTACCGCCAGCGGGTTTAAAACGCAAGGGATTCCAAACAAGTGACGCACGCGTATTTTTCACCCATTGTAAAAAAAATAATCGCTATGGAAAGGAGAAAAAAATGCATGTGGTGCGCTAGACGGCGACATAGTAGTTTCTTTTGAATCTTTTTTCCCGATTAATATAAGAGTGAAATTCGTTTCGTATGCTCGACTCTGAGACAAGCTAAACTATTGTTGATGTGATGACATTCGATTAGACAGTTCTGCACGTAAAGTCCGGTCGCCGAGCACGTAGAATTTCGTTTAATGACCCCAAGCTACCCATCCTTATCGCTCGCGCGTAACGCGACTGTGCGACGGGCGGCCCCGCAGTGAATGTGCGAGCGCGACAGCAAAACTACGCGCGAGCGATAAGGATGGGTAGCTTGGGGTCATTGGACGAAATTCTACGTGCACGGCGACCGGACTTTAGTACATTATTATTCTGTAAGTACCTGAGCGCAAGATGGTGCGAGTGTCCCTCAGGCAGCGCGACAATAGTGTGTGGCGGCGTGAAGCGGTACTCCTTCATGTTGGGCTTGACGTAGTACTGGTGACAGGCCTGTTCACCTCCCGAGTACGCATCCAAAACAAAACACGCGCGACCTACCGCCAGCGGGTTTAATCCACAAGGGATTCACGAGCAAGTATTGACGCACGCGTATTTTTCACCCATTGTAAAAAAAATAATCGCTTTGGAAAGGAGAAAAAAATGCATATGGTGCGCTAGACGGCGACACAGTAGCTTCTTTTGAATCTTTTTTCTCGAGTAATAGAAATTCGTTTACAATGGATTTCTCTACGTATGTAAACGAAACGATGCTCGACTCTGAGACAAGCTAAACTATTGTTGATGTGATGACATTCGATTAGACATTTCTGCACGTAAAGTCCGGTCGCCGAGCACGTAGAATTTCGTCCAATGACCCCAAGCTACACATCCTTATCGCTCGCGCGTAACGCGTCTGTGCGAGGGGTGCCCGCAGTGAATGTGCGAGCGCGACAGCAAAACTACGCGCGAGCGATAAGGATGGGTAGCTTGGGGTCATTGGACGAAATTCTACGTGCTCAGCGACGGGACTTTAGTACATTATTACTCTGGAAGTACCTGAGCGCGAGGTGGTGCGAGTGTCCCTCAGGCAGCGCCACAATAGTATGAGGCGGCGTGAAGCGGTACTCCTTCATGTTGGGCTTGACGTAGTACTGGTTGGGCGACAGCGCCGCGAACACCAGGCGCCCGCCCGGCCCGGCCAATGCGTTGCGTCGGTATGTGCCGCCACTCACTGATACTAACGCACCCTGGAGAAAAATTTATAGGGTGAGTTTTCGAGCGTATGTGATTTTGGTAAATGTAAAAGAATGGTTATATAATTGAGGTAGATAGATTTAAGAAAATACTTATTGATATGGTAATAAACTCAACATCAAATAAACCGCACCTTCCGCGACGCGAACTTTAAGGATTTTCTTCTGACACAATCATGGTGCCCCAACAATATTGGTGTTATTTGAAAGCCCAATTAATATTCTTAAAGAAAAACACATTTAATTTCTTAATAAATGATTAACATATACCATAACTCTTACTTGAAAAAAGAGCTCACTTTGGGCCCACCTCTAGGATCAATTAGACCAATTTTGAAAGTGCTTGTCGCGGGAGGTGCGATTTATTTGATGTCGAGTGTAGAACAATGTAGATGTTTTTCTTGGTTGTCATACATAAAATAAGTAAAAAATGGCACTTTGACAACAAAAAGTTGTGCAAACGAAAATGCTTTTGTATCTTGGGGTATATGAATGTTGTTTTCATATAATCAACAAGTAATTTGCCACTCTCTATGTAGAAGAACTTTTTTGGTTGTAAAGTAGACTACACACAACTCTATTTCTTTGTGCCGCTTGGTATCAAAGTGTCTTCGTTTGTGTAACGTCTAAAGCAATGGCTTCAAGGGTTACAAAAAGAAATGTCCTTTCAATGTAACCTTGTTGGTGATCAATTAAATAGATAAATAAATAAATGTATTCGAATACGAATCATTTCTTTTAGTTATTGCAATACAGGTCTGTGAACCTAGTACAATAACTACCGCTAGCCCCGTTTTGTACCTATTTTTATGCAAATAACCATTCTAATTACCTGCAACGGCGTGCCATCAGCGTCATCCACCAACTCCACGGTAATCTCAGCCAGTTTCTTGGCCACGACGTTTCCTTTATCATCAGGAGCGCTGAACACGTACGATTCCTTCTCCAAGGTCACGGTGTAGTCCTTGGACGCGTCGAGAGGGCCAAACGAGTAGGTGCCTTCCTTTGTGGTCAGCTGGGTCAGCTTGACGCCGTCTGGGGAGAGGTTGAGTGTTAGTAAGATTGTAACGTAAAGATTTATTTTAAAAAAAGATTAACAAATATTATGAGTTATTCATTTCTGAATGGAAAGCGATGCAATGTAAAATTGTGTAAATTTTATACAACTTTTGCTAAATACTACTAAATGGCCAAATTTTCAAGAAAAAGGGATGAAAAATGGGGTTCTCGAGGGAAGATTATGTTTCAGCAAATTAAAAAAAAAACGATATTCATGTTATCGGGTTTGGTGATCTGGAGTAGTCAGGTCGTTGCGACCAAATAATTCTTCCGTGATACAATAAGTAAGTGGTAAGTGCGTTTTGCTACTAATAGTAATATTGTGACTTACGAGATACACCATTTTGTATGAAATAATGAAATAGTTAATGTGTCGCTGTGACCGCATGTATAGGATGGGTCAAATAATTGACGAATCTGGTCACTGACGTGGCCATTGATGATGCTCATCGTCTTACACGCCCTCTTCATTAACCTTTGACGTGCTATTGAGCCGCGCAAAACTGCACCCCCAACTGCTAGGGTTTCGAGCCGGCAATCGAGCGCGCGCGCAGTGTTGTCGAAATATTCAAATTGTTCAAAATAATTGTTAGGCACACACCAAACTGATTGGTGTTTCTTAAGGTTAGACCAGACCAACGCGTGCAGCCGGCGTGCANACAAATCATTTTCAGTTTCCATTTTGCCGAATAGGCGTGATTGACAATATGCGTGACAGTGACAACCTGCACGCGCAGTGATCGCCATCGTGGTCGCGGCAGTGTGAAACAACTTTTGCACGCGCAGTGGTCGCCATCGCCATCGCCATCGCTGCACGCGTTGGTTTGTCCGAACCTTTAATGAAATTTACTCCACCTCCAGTAAGCGTGACAGTAGCGCCTTCCACCGCCGGAACAACCCGTCCGCTCTTGGTGAGGCCGCGGACGGCGCGTAGCGTGAGCGCCGCCGCCTGGCAGCCTGCGATACCCCACACTTGCTGCGGGCCGGACGGCTCGAATAGTAGAGAAGATGATTGCGCTGATATGACGGATACTTCGCCCTGGGAATATACAGGTGAGATTAATAATTTTAAAAGCAGCAGTATTTCTCCGACTTCATTTGTATTTTGCCGGAATAAACCACAAGAAAAGGAAAGTTATCGCTCCATCGTCTTCTATCTTCTTCCAAAATAACGTCTTTCTTACTCACTCACTCATTCATTCCCTCTCGCTTACTCCCTTGCGTTCCGTTTTATACTTCTACACTTAATAATGGCGACTCTGTGATCTGATAGTAAGAGATTTAGACTTTATCGATTAGGAAGTTGAGAGTTAAATTAATTACTGTTTCAAAACCCCAAACATCCTCTTCAACACTTTTGGACTCACGCCCGTATTCACAAACATTACTATGAGGTCTCACAGTGCGCGTGGACGCACAGGGTGACACACGAACCAATCACAGAGCTCTATTCAACGCTGTGCGTTGAATAGAGCTCTGTGATTAGGGCATATACCGATTAGGGCATGTAATATCGGAAGGTTTTCAATTCCGATATTGGATTCCGATATTCGATCTCAATATCGGAATTCCGATATTAATATCGGAATTGAGTTTATGTATTATAAAATTTAAATATTTGGTTATATTCGTATAATTTCTCGATTGTATACAGCAAAATAATGATTTTAATCAAAATCTTTAATTTGGTACAAAATAACACTTCTTAAAATTATAATATTGAAGTATTTAAAACCATTTTGTATGTTACGGGTAACCATTGCATTTTGGTAACTGATAATGGGCCAATTATGGAAATGAACTAGAAAATAATTTAAGTGTTTTTGTAAAACAGGTATCAAACAAACTTTTACTCCTTCAACCAATACTGGCGGAACGATTTGTAGTCATTCAAGTCACATGTTACAAAAATTTTAGACAGTGGTATAAAACTTGAATATGCTTGTAATTTGTTCCTTTTTGATTATCGATGTACAACACACAAAACCACGGGGCGTCATCATCGTCATCATTTCAACCCTAAGACGTCCACTGCTGAACATAGGCCTCCTCCAATAATTTCCACAATGGCTGGTTGGTGGCGGCCTGCATCCAGCGCTTTCCTGCTACCTTTATGAGGTCGTCGGTCCACCTTGTGGATGGCAGCTTTATGCTACGCTTACGTGGCCTCTACTCCAGAACCTTGCTGCCCCATCGGCCGTCAGTTTTGCGTACTAGGGCGGAATCGCTGGAAGACCTCGGCACAATGCTCGAAGACCTAATCGAGTCTCCCAACAGGTAGGCCTTGGACATGGACAAAACGAAGCTTATGACCATGTTCCGCCCTACCTATTTTCGGTTGGGAGCCTGATTTTCGAGACTGTTGACAAGCATGTCAACCTCGGATAAACGATTCAGCTAAGTAGATTCAATTTCGAGAAAGCGGTAAATCATCAAATCCTACTCGGCTGGGCCGCGTTCGGGAAACTACACAACATCTTTTCGTCCAAAATACCTCAGTGCTTAAAGACGAAAGTCCTCAAACAATGTGTGTTACCCCAGTTATAATATACGGCTCGGAAACGTGGCCTCTCAAAGTTGCACAGCGTGCTATGATGAGGGCTGTGCTTGGTGTTTCTTTACGAGTTCGAATCAGAAATGAGAAGCTCTGTTTACGAACTAAAGTCGCTGACATAGCCCGACGGAATAGCAAGCTGAAGTGGCAATGGGCAGGGCACATAGTACGCAGAACTGACGGGCCATAGTCCAATTTTATTAATGTTTGGAAGGGAGTTGAGATGTCGTTTTTCATTGCTAAGACCAAGTACGGCAAGTGCTAAAATTGTTTTAGAACATGTTATGGTAAATAATTATTTGCAGTGGAAAAAGTGATGTTGAAAGACATGAGAAAATCATTGGTCTTTGCCAATCATGTACTTTGAGCTTTGTAGCAGGTTATGGCGCTTTTAAACGCTTTGTTTAAAGTCTCAATCAAAACCTTTATCTGATTCCGATATTACGATATTGGGTCGCTCAATATCGGAATTGTAATATCAGATCTTGTCTTCCGAGATTCCGATATTACGAGATTCCGAGATTCCGATATTCATGCCCTAATACCGATAACGAATATACCGTGTTTTATTTGTACGTTCCAAAACCCAAGGGTGCCAAACATTGCCTTCTGAAACTAAAACACTTGCATTTTGCATACATTTTTTGATTAGTGAAACCGTTCGTAAGCTACTCCCTCCTCCCCCTGGGTTGTAGTTGTAACAGATACATTTAATTTATGGTTCAGAATCTAAGAATCTATTTATGGTCCTTCAAGCCGGATTTACTTTGAATTTCCGATTATTGTTCTTTGGTTAAATACAGCACGGTTGTTTTAGCTAACGAAGAAGTGTGGTCACTCACATCAGCCATATACATGGTGTGTTCAAAGATGAAGCCGCCATCAGGATGCGGGCGTGACGTCAGCGGGCCAGTGCGAGTGCCGCCTACTGTCAGCGTCAAGTCGTTAACTGTCACTGGTGACAGCACGCGCACAGTCACTGCATGTGCTACTGGCGCGAAGTATATTGTCTGGGGAGTAAATTTTCAGGTTAGTTGTGAACATTTTTAAATAGTAGACAAGCTGTTAAGAATAAATATTGTGTCATAATGCGGGATTGCGTCGATTCGAACTTCAAACTATAAAACACAAGACACATACAGTGCAAAGGTTTATGAGGTCTCATGCAGCATCAAGTTACGATTTAAGTTATGTTTGTGAGCAACAACCTGATCAGTAGTGAACAAAATACTTAACCCTATAATATAAAAATTAATATTTTTATGAGCTTCCCTGCCTTACCTGGAAGTCTTTAAATAGACTTCGGACGCAGGTTGGCTGTAGTAAGGACAATCTGGTCAGGTGGGGATTCTTGGATGGCTTAAACATGGAGTGCAGGTGCGGTTTTGTTCCCCAGTCGATGAAGCACCTGATATCGTGCCCTGAGTGCCCGAGCTACTGCACTCAGGAGGATTTGATGAGTGCTACTGACAACGCCACCCTCGTGGCGGAGTTTTGGGCTGACACTGTGTAGGTTTGTTGTCGACGCGAAAAGAAGAAGACCAGAGTAACTTTCAATAAGGGGTATTGAGGCTACATACCGAGGGCGGCTTGTCGTCGTTAGCCGCAGTGGTGGCAGTGAGGGTAGGCGGTCGGAACTGGTGGCAGCCGCGCGGCGCGAGCGTGTATCGTCCGGCAAGACACTTGCAACACGCCGGACGCGCCGTCCGGGCCTGTGTCCTCCACTGCTTGATACCAAGAAGTAAGCTACATACCGCGTACCGGAAAACGCAGCGTGGGACGTCCACCTACAAGGTGGACCGACGACATCGTAAAGGTAGCAGGGAAGCGCAGGACGCAGGCCGCTACCAATCGATCAACATGGAAAGCATTGGGGGAGGCCTATGTTCAGCAGTGGACGTCCTGTGGCTGAAATGATGAAGCTACATACCGAGGGCGGCTTGTCGTCGTTAGCCGCGGTGGCAGCCGTGAGGGTAGGCGGTCGGAACTGGTGGCAGCCGCGCGGCGCGAGCGTGTAGCGGCCGGCTGCAGGCACGCACGCCGAGCTGGCGCCGCGAGACACTTGTAACACGCCGGACGCGCCGTCCGGGCCGGTGTACTCCACCTGGGACACAAATAAAATAGAACTTTATTGACATGAAACAAGTACAATATAGTGAAACCCCCGATTCCTGTGCTAGATATATGAAACTGTATTACAGAAGCCAGTGCCCGCACACTCAATTCGACAAATGATTGATAATAATAGTGTAAAAATATTAATGTTCTTAATCCGCTTGTGTGAACGTTCTTCTGAATTAAGGTATGGATTCTGGCTCAACGGTCGACGTTCGAGCTGTCCTTTCAAATAAGAAGTCCGATGTTGCTGACATTTGAAACGTTTCATTTTTTACGGCCCGATAGCACCGAGCCAGATAAATAGATATAATCTTTCGCACCCGGCTGCAGTAGAGGTTTGTTTTAATAAAACAAAAGAGCACAAGTTAATCACGTTCAAAAACATGGTGCGACTGGGTTGTGTGAGTTGTGACGCCAACTGTCGCATCACGCAACGACGGGCTTTTGCTAATACTCACGCGGGGTGCAAGCACGAAAATTAGCGCAGATGTGTACAGCTGCACCCGCGCAAGTTTTTTAGCGAGGACACGAAAGGTTGAGAGGTTTATGTACATCTAATTAAAACAAGAATCATGGTATCTAGAAAATAAAAAAGCTTTGCTTAGTTTAGAACTAAATGATATAGTGTCAAGTCTAAGAATATTTATTTAATTTATGGTGTCAGATTATAATAGTGGTATGTTATACTAACCTCAAGCTCGTGCTGCGAGCTCAGCCTCAAAACATATCCCGTGTGGTGGAAGGCAGGCGCCGGCACTTTCTCGTGTGCGACGGCCACGTTGAGGCGCGCCTCCCGCCAGCACAGACGCGTCGTCGGCACCGACAGTTCGGCGCTGCCCGCCGGGACTTCCTTGAACGAGTACTCGCCATCTGAAAACATAACACTCAGTTAGGACGGTGCCAGAAAAAACACGCGATTACAACTCAATCCTGAGTTAACTTGGCGGCCGTGACTTCACATCGATGATCTGGTACGGATGGGGCGAATGCCGGGAGGTGTGCGAGTAAGTGAAATTATACTCGGCGCTGGCTAGCCAGTTCCTTTGCTTGAACTTGGCTTGACACGCTACTGCGTGTCTAAAACCCGGTCCGTAAGCACGTAGAATTTTGTCCAATGACCCCTAGCTACCCATCCTTATTGCTCGCGCGTAATTATATTGCTGTCGCGACACTGTGCGACTGGCATCCGCAGTGAATGTGCGAGCACGATAGCAACATAATTACGCGCGAGCGATAAGGATGGGTAGCTAGGGGTCATTGGACAAAATTCTACGTGCTCACGGACCAGACTATAGATTCCAATGGGGTATGCAGTTTGAGCATGATTGAGTTATACACGCGTAGACGGGTGGGCTTCCTGAGAACCAACGCTTCCCTGGCAGATATTGGATTTACGGATCCATGGAGCACGTCTATGAAGTGACATAAAATAATACACAACGCTTTGAATTAATTCCGTCTACGCCCGACTAGTTAGACATGGTGGGAACTCCACAGATTTTTGGTTTCATGGACTACCTGCTCGTTTTTGAGTTATTTGGTTCAATGTTACATGATATTTGAGTGTTTTAAAATGTATGTTTTTTTTTTCAAAGCTTCTATGTACTTTTTTTTTATTGATATTTTCCAGACTATGATGTCACAAACCACTATTTTAGCTGGAGTTAATAGTCCCCATAATACTTACTAACAACCACAGCCTTCATGGGCGTGCCAATGTACCCGGTCAGCCGGGCGAAGACACACGAGACGCCCCGACACCGTGTCTTTAAGCTGGGAGAACGTCACGCCGTACCACTGTTTTAGCTAGATTTAGTATTGCCAATTATACTCACTGACAACCACAGCTTTCATGGGGGTCCCGATGTAACCACCATCAGGCGACAGCGGCCGCAACATAACTGGTAGATTGTTGCAGTCAGCCGGGCGAAGACACACGACACGTCCCGACACGGTGCCTTTAAGCTGGGAGAACGACACGCCGTCCACGGGACCGTTGCCGACGGAAAACTTCTGGGTTACTGGGAAGAATCTGTGGAGGGAATGAAATTGAGGTATAGTTGTTGCAATTCACGAAGACGAGTGAGCTTTACATGTGTGGTGGCTAGCTACTGTTGGTTTTTCAAAAGTTTTGATAGACATTACACTATTGTTATTTATTTTATTTGGTGCACTTAACGTTATGCGCATGTACACGTACACACACAAGTAAGCTCACTCACCTTCATGAGTTTCAAGAACAATAATGTGGATTGGAGGAATTATTTCAAGTCATAACAAACAAGGTTTTCAAATGATTTTTTTAAATCTTTTTTTTTATCTTCAATGATGTGTTAATTTCTAGAAACAGTCTTTTTTACTAAATTTTTAGAGGTGATGCAGTCTTTGATAAACAACTGACGTAGAATGTGCACTCTCAAAATGAGCACTTTTTTTTTTTTGGTCGTTCGTTAGGTCTTTGAGTAATGCCTAAATATTAAGCAAGTGGACCATCTATCAGCGATCCAGCATAAAGATTAGTCATTAATTACTTAAAGGCTAAAGTATACTCACTGCATGCCCTCCCTTTGCTCCTGTTCACTCAGCTCCACTTTGGCTACGTACACTCCCGGTGGCAGGAAGGTGCACCACTTGCCTGGAACATACCACCAACATGTTTAATGTTGTTGTGCCTCATCCTAATCAACAAGTGGGTGATTCACCCTCGCAAACAAATTCATTGTCTCACTGTCGTTCTAGGTCGCCATGGCAACTCGCACGGGGCCCTACTCGGATTCAACGAGAATGTCGCAAGACTGACGGCACTGCACGAGCGCGGGACACACATGGGGTCCACTGAACAAGGGAATGGCTCACTGCACACAGCCAGGTAATGACTGGCTATTGTTTTTAAACATGACTTGCTTTTCAACCGACTTCAAAAAAAAAAAAGGAGGAGGTTCTCAATTCGACCCGTATGTTTTTTTTTTCTATGTTTGTTACGCGATAACTCCGCCAATTATGAACCGATTTGAACAAATCTTTTTTCGGCGTATAGGTACTACCTCAAGGGTGGTCCCATTTAAATTTAATAATAGAAAAAACAACCCCCAAGGGTGGAAAATTGGGGATGAACTTTTTTATACGCAATATCTCCGCCGATTATAAATCAATTTGAACGATTATTTTTTTGTTGAATAGGTATTATCAAAAGGGTGGTTTCATGCGAATTTGAAGAAAATATTTCACCCCCAAGAGTGGAAAATTGGGGTTGAACTTTTTTATACGCAATATTTTTTTTTTTTTTTTTTTTTTTTTTCCACAACGAGGAAGCTCTTGGCCTGTATCTCACCTGATGGTAAGTGACGATCAGGCCGAAGGTGGAAGCGAGCTTCACCCGGAATCCTCAACCACGGAGGATATTTTTAATTTTTAGTTTTTTTTGTGTTCACGCATTTGAAGTCGGTTTTTTTTTTAAAAGTTAATTATGTTAAAGTGCTTTTTAAAAGCATATTTGCAAAAATAAATTAGTTTTTATGAGTTTTTAACCTATTGCTGAATGGGGTCCACTTACCATCATTCTCGGGCGCCGAGTGTACCGCAGCTCTCACCGGCCCCTTCTCGGCCTCGATGAGTATGTCCCTGTGGTCGGGCGGGCTGACGGCGCCGCACACGCATGGGCCCCGTGGGGGTCACCTATTGCTGAATGGGGTCCACTCACCATCATTCTCGGGCGCCGAGTGTACCGCAGCCCTCACCGGCCCCTTCTCGGCCTCGATGAGTATGTCCCGGTGGTCGGGCGGGCTGACGGCGCCGCACATGCATGGGCCCCGTGGGGGTCACCTATTTCTGAATGGGGTCCACTTACCATCATTCTCGGGCGCCGAGTGTACCGCAGCCCTCACCGGGCCCTTCTCTGCTTCAATAAGTATGTCCCTGTGGTCGGGCGGGCTGACGGCGCCGCACACGCGCCAGCGCGCCGCGGCCGCGTGGGGCACGCGCGTGGGCCCCGCGGGGGTCACCTGCAGCTGGATTGTGTCCGCTTCGCACTTCTCTGCAATTCGTTTAAATATGTAGATGGAAAATGTAATCGCTTTTTGGAAAACTTTAAAACAATCTGTTATGTATAAAAAAATCATAATTTATTATTCACTAGCTTTCCGCCCGCGGCTTCGCCCGCGTGGAATTTTGTCTGTCACAGAAAAACTTTATCGCGCGCGTCCCTGTTTCAAAAACCGGGATAAAAACTATCCTATGTTCTTTCCCGGGACTCAAACTATCTCTATGCCAAATTTCATCAAAATTGGTTGCGAGGTTTAAGCGGGAAAGCGTAACAGACAGACAGACAGACAGACAGAGTTACTTTCGTATTTATAATATTAGTTGGGAAGTTGGGATAACAAATCTGATTAATTCATGACGTCACACACCTCAGGACTATCGTGTTTGCCCTCACCAGTTGAAGGCACTGTAGAGTTAGGTTCTGTCACTCGCTAGTGGCTAAAACAGTGACGCCAATTGGTAACTGCTGAAGCCTATCGTTATTGCATTCGCTAGAGGCGCCACTGTGGAATAAGGTCCTGTCACTTGCCTGTCACTAACTGGTGAGCGCAAAAATACAGTACCCCTCATTTGTTGCAGCCCTAACAAAACAAGCTCACCATGCAAGAAGTTGAGCAAGTAGTTCCCTGGCTTCAACGCGGGCAGCGTGAACTTGCCGCCCGCGTCGGTAGTACCAACCGCCCGCCCATCTTACTCCACGCGGGCCCCGCCCACTGAGGCTACTAGCGAGCCTACTACAGTGGACTCACTTGGCTCACTTGTTCTAGCCTGGACAAAAGAAGCTCACCGTGCAAGAAGTTGAGTAAGTAGTTCCCTGGTTTCAGCGCGGGTAGCGTGAACTTGCCGTCCGTCTAGTTCCACGCGAGCCCCGCCCACCGAAGCTAGTAGCGAGCCTACCACTGTGGACTCACTCGGATCACTTGTTCTAGCCTGGACAAAAGAAGCTCACCGTGGAAGAAGTTGAGCAAGTAGTTCCCTGGTTTCAGCGCGGGCAGCGTGAACTTGCCGCCCGCGTCGGTTGTGCCCACCGCCCGCCCATCTTACTCCACGCGGGCCCCGCCCACCTAGGCTAGAAGCGAGCCTACCACTGTGGACTCACTTGGCTCACTTGTTCTAACCCTGACAAAAGAAGCTCACCGTGCAAGAAGTTGAGCAAGTAGTTTCCTGGTTTGAGCGCGGGCAGCGTGAACTTGCCGCCCGCTTCCATAGTGCCCACCGCCCGCCCATCTTACTCCACGCGAGCCCCGCCCACTGAGGCTAGCAGCGAGCCTACCACTGTGGACTCACTTGGCTCACTTGTTCTAGCCCTGACAAAAGACGCTCACCATGCAAGAAGTTGAGCAAGTAGTTCCCTGGTTTCAGCGCGGGCAGCGTGAACTTGCCGCCCGCGTCGGTAGTACCAACCGCCCGCCCATCTTACTCCACGCGGGCCCCGCCCACTGAGGCTAGTAGCAAGCCTACCACTGTAACACTTGCCTCATTTGTTCTAGCCTGGACAAAAGAAGCTCACCGTGCAAGAAGTTGAGCAAGTAGTTCCCTGGTTTCAGCGCGGGTAGCGTGAACTTGCCGTCCGTCTAGTTCCACGCGAGCCCCGCCCACCGAGGCTAGCAGCGAGCCTACCACTGTGGACTCACTCGGATCACTTGTTCTAGCCTGGACAAAAGAAGCTCACCGTGCAAGAAGTTGAGCAAGTAGTTCCCTGGTTTCAGCGCGGGCAGCGTGAACTTGCCGCCCGCGTCCGTGGTACCAACCGCCCGCCCATCTAGTTCCACGCGGGCCCCGCCCAGCGAGCCTACCACTGTGGACTCACTCGGATCACTTGTTCTAGCCTGGACAAAAGAAGCTCACCGTGCAAGAAGTTGAGCAAGTAGTTCCCTGGTTTCAGCGCGGGCAGCGTGAACTTGCCGCCCGCGTCCGTGGTACCGACCGCCCGCCCGTCTTACTCCACGCGGGCCCCGCCCACTGAGGCTAGCAGCGAGCCTACCATTGTGACACTCGCCTTATTTGTTCTAGCCTGGACAAAAGAAGCTCACCATGCAAGAAGTTGAGCAAGTAGTTCCCTGGTTTCAGCGCGGGTAGCGTGAACTTGCCGTCCGTCTAGTTCCACGCGAGCCCCGCCACCGAGGCTAGCAGCGAGCCTACCACTGTGGACTCACTCGGATCACTTGTTCTAGCCTGGACAAAAGAAGCTCACCATGCAAGAAGTTGAGCAAGTAGTTCCCTGGTTTCAACGCGGGCAGCGTGAACTTGCCGCCCGCGTCGGTTGTGCCTACCGCCCGCCCATCTAGTTCCACGCGAGCCCCGCCCACGCCGGCCCCGCCCACCGAGGCTAGGAGCGAGCCTACCACTGTGAAGCCGCTCACCTGGGATGATCAAGGTATGCATGAATATTACACGTTTTTGTTGTGAAGTAGCTATTATAACTTTAGTATAAGGTGCCACAGTATTTAGCCTGAAGTATTGCAGTCTGTAAATGAGGGGTGCCACAGATTTCTATGTAACTTTTAAAACTATAGTACACGTTTGGTAACATCAAGTGACTTGAGTAGTTAGGTATTCTTTTTGCATTTTTTTCGTGGAACATCTCGGTATATTAAATCGTCGATTCTTCGCGCGAAAGCTAGCAAAACAGCTTATGTGGCATTTAAGCACACTTTTTTTCAAGCCGTGTTTTGGGCACTAGCAGTGTACAAGGGTTGTTTAATGTACTTGTTATTTGACTTTTAAAAGCTCTTATAAGTAGTTCCATTCCATTCACAGGCAGTAAAATAAGTTAATAATATTTCACTTGAAAAATACTTAATTAGATCACAGTAAATACAAATGAGTAGGTCATCTTCATAGAAACGCACGGGCGCGGTTTGTATGTGAGCGCGCCAATACGTATGCGGCGCGCACGCACACACTGACAAAATTCGGCGCAACCACGACTGGCTCCCTGCTAATCCACGCTAAAAATGATAAGATTGAGCGATATCACTTACCTCAAAAGCATTCTTGATGTACAAGCTATCATGTTGGACACTGAATGGTACCACTTCAGGTCCAACATTGAGAGACAGTTCATTCTGTCCCGGGGCCACACTCAATGCCCTTAGTGAGTAGTGCCCAGCGGGGACCAGGCCAAAACTGAACTCTCCGTTGCTGTCAGTCACTGAATGACATATTGGGGAGTCAGGGACTCCTTGGAGGAGTGCAGTTTTGCAGCCTTCGACACGGAACAGTTGCTTTTCCTGAAAAATAGATAATTTTAGATTAAGAAAACAAATATTGTTAAGATGAATTTGAACATATCCTGTTAAACAAATTAACTCTAAAAATCTTCCACTCATTTTAATGACCAACCACTATTCTAGTTCACTTGTTGGTAGACTAAATTAAAACCTCAAAATGGCTATGATTATGAATCTACGTCAAGAGGTTATAGTATCACTACTTAATTAGGACACTGAAATAGGAATATTGATGAAAAAAATATTCCTTAAACTTACTACATCTTTTGCAACTTCTAAAACTTACATCTTTTGCATACAGGAGGACATAGAGGCCGCTCATGGGGGCCCCAAATGATGTGACGGATCCTTTGACGTCATATCCTTTCACGGCCAGCACCCCTGTGGGTAGAGCAGTGTTGCCTTCCTTTACCTGCACTACGGCCTGGGCTGGCTCCAGTTTCCATCTAGAAGACAAGTGTAAATAAAGATAATATGAGGTAAGTTTTTTTTTCTTCTAAGTTATCAAGTTTTCAATAACTTTTGCAAGGTTTTCTTTGTGGTAAAGATGCAGAATACCCATCTTTGCAACATAAATGGTGCAACCCACCAGTTCAACTTAGGGACTATAATTTGGAATTATTTTAAACCTGTGATAAATTAGTATGTAGATTACCTTACTTTGGCACCCAACCAATGTAGTAATAATTAAATATTTAAGCCAGTGTTCTTTCTGCGTTTTATTTATTTTATTTATTTATTTATTATTCATTATTGAGCAATTACATATTTGATCCAAATAGCGTCCTAAATCCTTTTTAGGTTTGTCTAGACACTATTGTTCTCTATACAAATAAAAACAAACGTTTTAGTATAAGCATTCACAACACTTTCAGATATACAAAATATTATTTTAGCGAGTGCGCACTACGATGACGAAAGACTCGACGTTCGATCGCGATCGCAGACCGGTTGGCAGATAATTGTCTAAAAAGCATAATGTGGCATTTGAAAATGAGTAAACTCAATAAATTACCTTGGATGTGAAGCTTTCACAGTGTATTTGCCAGGTATCACAGGTGTAAAGTGGAAGTCACCTCCTGTAGTAGTAACAGTATTCCTCACTTCTCCTTTATCATTGACCAGCTGAACTGAAACTCCACTTGGCCCCAGCTTTTGACCTGCTGTTATAACTCTACCGGTGATCCCAAAACCATTAAACTGGAAGTTTATATCTTGCCCGACCGAACAGGCATCTGTTTCTCCATCTATGTTAAGGTTCACCTCAGCAGGCTCGAAGCTCCATCCTGCTGGTGGATGGACCTTCAACACATAATCCCCTTTCTCATAAAGAGGTAAAAAGTAATACCCATTGGTAGGAGCACATTCAGTCTTTTCTTTTAAGCTTCCATCTTTTGTATACCTAAAATTATAAATGTAAATAATTACGACACATCAATTGACCACTGATTAGCCATTTGTACATTATTAATTAATTACATTTAGTAAAATCTAATTAGAAGTGATGATAGGTTAACTTACAGGCCGATCTCAATTTTAGAGAAATCCAAAGTGACATGACTTTTAACGAATCCACCACAACCTAAGATATCGTCGGCGTGACCATTTTTAATATATATTAAAGAAAATACAAGGAAAAATAGTAATTTCATATTCACCCCAATCATAGTCACTTTTTTGGCCATATTTTTTCAGTGATATCTATGAAATAGTGATGTCCGTGTGTGTGTGTGATTACAATAATCGTTCAATTGACATCAAGTGAAATGGCAAACGATGACGTGCTATAGATGACCCACGCTGAACTGTCCCGCCAAACTCAATGACAGGGGGGCGCTACCATCGTTCAACTATATGGTTTCCAACATGGCAAAAATCTGAACCAGCGATCCGGTCATGAAGCTAAAGATAAAAATGGAGGCCAGACTTAGAATACCTACTTGAAGCACAACCTATGTATCACTATCTCGCTCTCTGTGGGCAGGCTCTCTCTTTCTAAGTAGGGTAACCTTTTATTTATTTTTCTCAGGACGACAAAGACTGATTTACGTTTAAACAGTGTGTCTTGATAAAGTGCACTTAATATGATTATGAAAAAAGGTTTTCGATGTTTTTGTTTTAAGATGAATTACAACATTAAGAAAGTGTAAAGGCATCGAAAACTGTGGATATTTGATAGAAAACAGATTTTAATTTGGCAGTTGACAGACGGATTTGGATATGGATTGATTACAGTAAACGGCCGTAGAAAACATTATGCAAAATTAGATAAGTAAGGTCCCACAGAAAGTCCCAGATATATCCTCAATATGGTCATACTACTTCAAAATGTCTTATAGAAACAAAAATTTTAAATTTGCTCAAAGTCAATGAAACTCAATGTAAAATCTTCTTTTTCTTGACATATGTAACATTTAATAATAAGTTTAAATACTGGTAAAACGTTTTAGGAAGTAATTACTGTGAAAATACAAAGAAATATGGTAACATTTAATAATAAGTTTAAATACTGGTAAAACGTTTTAGGAAGTAATTACTGTGAAAATACAAAGAAATATGTTAACAATGATCCACTGTCAGAAATCACGAAATAAACACTTACGCGTGGAATTTTATATCACTTCCAGGACAACACGAACTACCGCAACCACGCACTATACAATTTTGCACCATTTCTTCAGACAAAACAATGATAAGGTCCCTTGAAAAATCTCAAACGAAATCAACTGCATAGTAAACAACCGCCATGATGGGCCGGATTCGGCCGATGTTGCCACATTACCGATACCTCAGAAATTGGGATTGTAATTCCCTGATTCGCCAACACATTAAGCCTAAATGGCCGACAATTTTGTGATTTTTTATTTAACTAGGTAATCTAAGTTTCAAATATTAATTATTTATTTATTTAACTTCTTATTTGGTTAGTGAATTGGCTATTTCGAAGAATTTACAAGGAGATTTAAATAAGAAGATAGCAATACTACAGTTCACACTAAAAAGAGAGGTAGGGCCACAGAGAGCGAGATAGATATAAGTAGGTATTTGACTCAAGTTTTGTTCCCAACTTTGCCCTCCATTTTTATCTGTAGCTTCATGGATCCGGTATTGACGGTGGCGCCCCACTGTCAATGTCATCGACAGGACAGTCCAGTATTTTGGAACTATAACTAAATATACAAACCCTGCGAACTTGTGAAGATACTCAATCAATTCCTCTTTCAGTCAATAATTTAACAAACATGATTGGGTGTTTGTGTAGAATTTCCATAATTTGATTTGAAAGGCATTTTTAATTAGTTTTGCATGGATTTTAATCTTTTTTATATTAGTTTTATTTCAAATTTATGGATTAAGTATAATTTCATCCTCGATAATTAAGTTTTAATCATTCAAAATAATTATACTGGGTGAAAAATGCGATGTTTAAATAATACATATACACACGGCCAGTACGGCCACACTGTTAACTATTCATTTCCGTTTTTGCTCTCGCTCTTATCAAATGGCGATTCTTTGCGATAGAACGAGACGACATGACAGGCAATGGATAGTTTATAACATTGTTGCCGGTTGCCGATGGTGCGTGTTATAGATATTAGTCATACAGATACTTATTTGGCATTTTTTTTAAAGATTATTGTTAACATAATGTGACGATAAATGGTCAATACATCAAAGATCAATTATTCAATTAACTTATGGAATGGAACCTCACTATTAATTTGACAGATGTCACGTACCCAAAGTTGATTGAACTCTCATAAAGGTTCCAACACACTTTATCTATCGATTATTTACAGAAATTATATTATTATTCAAAACCAAAACACGTCAGTACATTTTGGTTTTTAAAATTTAATATTACCATCCCTAGATGAATAAGAATTCATGTCGCTTTAAGTATTGTGGTAGGTTAGGTGTATTGTCGATGATACTGAATAAACATTTTCTTCTTTCTTTTGGGTTAAACCTTATGAATGTGAACCACGTCTTATCTTTCACTGGGGGGAGTTATAAAATTCCAAACATTAATAAATATGTGGTGCACATTTATTTGCACAGCAAATACACAGTAAAATAAATAGTAGAAAGTAGGGGTGTATAGAAAAGTACATATAATTACATAAAAAACAAAAAATAGACTTAGACATACATTTACTAAATTAACAACACATTTTTTTTTATATTTGTAAGATTTCATGTAGCAACAGCAGTCTTCGTTTTATTTTGAATGGGCAGGAACAGTTTGAACTCTGCCGGTAATTCATCTTCAGAGTACAATCTGTCAGAGAAGTAGACTCTTCTTATTCGACAGTTAGCATGAATCTGTACTCTCAGAGTTTCAACATAATTGGTGCCATAAGCCCGTCTCGTGAAGTCTGCTAAATTAAATTGGATCTGGTTCCATCCTTCATCTAATCGCATAGGCATTGTGCAAATAAAAGGTTTTACTCTTGTTGTCGATTGGTAGTTGCTTGCTCTGAACCTCCTTCGCACATTCTTGTCATCCAAAACCTGTAAATGTAAATAAAGGAGGTTATGTTTGGAGATTATTGATCATACTTTCATAGCACAAAAATTAAGTTTGTATGTTCACAACAAATGTATCCTGGCAACGGAAATGACGTAACCCTTACCTGGACTTCAAAGGTGAAGTACTTTTTGAGGTTTTTGATGATCATAACCAAAAACGGCAGCTTGATGCCGAGCGTCTTCTTCGGGTCGGCCGGGCATGTAATGTACGTCGTGCTGACATTGGTCCCGACTATTTCGAGCACTAAACTCTGGATATCATTGTCTGTAATTCTCTTTATGTGCCCATTTCGCACTTTTTTATCCCAAATTTGCAAAGGTTTGCTGCCTATGCTGTAAAGAATTGACAGGAAACCAGACTGAAATGTGTTCTTGAACATTTTTCCTATATCACCCCTAACGAACTGTGTAAACCTTACATTTAGCACACGATTAACAATAAAAGTTTAATCAATACAGAAAATAATTCGCGGTTGCATTGCAACTTGACAGATTGACAGTTTATACAAGAATTTTGAACGCGGCCATTGGCCATGCGTTTGTTATCAATACAGGGTTACCATAGCAACGTGGACATGAAAAAAAAAAGAACGCTACGTTTCTTTTCAGGGAATTATGATAGGTCTTAACATAAAAAATATCTATGTTTACTATGAAAAAAAGGATTGAAAAACAACCAATTTCAAGAAAACACTTCTGAATTTGTGGAAACAAATAGTTGACAAATAATAATATAATAAGAATGAACAAATCACTGTACCTGCACGCAATATTTATTAATTTAGGTTTTAGATAATTTATCTTTCATTCTTTTAAGGCCTTATGTCTTAAAATATTATAGAAAATTCGTAACTCGTAATAATATGAATAATGGATAGCAACAGGCAGTATACATTTGATTCTATTGCAAAATATGTCAAATTCGACATTTCGAGCAAAAAAAACTTTTTTATCTGTGTGACGGTGGTCGGCGATGCATGTGCAGCGATAGTGCATTCAAGTTTTGTTGTATTTTGTGGTTTTTCTTTCATATTTCTAAAGTATAGTTGTAAAATGTGCACAGAAAATAATATTTAGTTCATTTTACAGAGAATAACCCATGTCTTTCTGTTCGTTTCGTTAGTGTAACCGATAAAGTGATAAAGCGAAAATGACGGAAACGTCATCGAAGAGGTAAGAATTTTTATTACTTTACATTAAAATTAACAAATAATATTTATAGTAATTACTTACCTGGTATCGTCGAAGTGTAATATAGAAACAATAACAAACTGTGGGATCACGGTACGCATGAACTTTTACTCTTACTTTTTTCTTGTTTGTTTTACAGAAATATTTTATTTGCGGTAGTTTTCTATTACCAATATAAATTATATATAAAAATAATATTGAATCGTGTATATTGACATTATCAAAAATATAAAAACTACCTTTCAAAATGTTTTACCCTCAAAATCTTCAAATCATGACACATATTTCAAAATTGGAACATACAACTTTTTTCATTAGTTTTGTAGCTGCAAGAACTTTTGTTATTTAAGCCAACTATTAAAGCAAGCCTAGAAGTATTTGAGCACCAATTTTAAAAATCTGATCAAGCAACGTCATGCATTGCAATCTGGTTCGTATCGTTCTGCATTTGACCCTCCATGTTTATGTCACCTTCTAATAAAATATACCTAGGCTAATGTCCATAAGCACCTAGATCTGAACTACTTTATTCCTTCTACTATTATGTCTTTTGTAACAATGGAGGTCCTAAATCTTGTGTCAACTTAATTAACATAAGCATCTGACTCAATGTGGGTTTTCGCGAATGAAAGATCCGCTAGATGGCGGGACGTGGATGTCAATGACATATGGGGTCTGACTGCTGCGTGATTGGTGGATTTTGACATAATGTCATCATGTCAAAAATAACCAATCATGCAGCATTTGGACCTCGCATCTATGTATTGCCATCTGGCGGATTTTTCATTTGCGAAAACCCTCATTGGTCTGACCACGTAATTTACTCTCCTAAGCACGGAATTATTTGGTTTGAGGCAAATCTTAACCTAATTTGTAAACACTAAACAAAATGTTTAATGTCCAAGTTGAGTCCACAGAGTGACTTTAAATATTACGAATTAGTACATACTTATAAGCCAGCATTAATCATAACAAATAATCAAACATAATGTACGTAAGTGCATACATGTAGACGGCATAATAATATGGCTCTTATCATTGACATGTATGGACAAATGAACTTCCGTCCTCCACAGTACAACTAATTAGATTATTTTTGTGTAAAATGATAACAATGCTTGAGGATTTAATGTAAATTCTTGTCTAAAACAAAGCTACAGCTTCTCCTAACTAGTACATTTTAACGTTTATTGGATTGTCAATGTACACAGCTTTGTATTATAATTGGTCTACATGAACGACACTAAAATACTCTGAAAGTTGATGGTCGCTCAAGCATTGCTGATTTTAATCAATTATTCATCTGAAATTGAAAGAAGTTATGGAATACATAATTATTATTATTGCAATGATCCACCATGGCAACACTCAATCTGAGGTGCGATTGTGTAAAGCAATCATATTTATTTGATAACAATAAAATCTGTTTAACAAGCCGTTTGACAAATTATTGCGTACATTTGAACTGTCAAATTAATATGATTGTTTTACACAATTGCACCTCTGGAGTTAAACTAGGGCAAAGTGGGCACTTTAAATTTAAATCCTCTAACATAAAAAGTTATCTACCCTCTGACCAAAAGGATATTTTTTGCAGCATTTATTTTTCACACAGAACATAAATTGATAATTCGTTAACAGTATTCAAATTAGAATTCTGATATAAAAAAAAGTCTAAAGACATTAGGAGATTTTAATAATACCTACATAATTTATGTTATTTTGTAACCGATTCAAGTCTGATCAATCTGGTAAGTAGTTAAGCCTGTTTTTCTATTTAGAGTTTTGTTCGTTACAGAAAATAAATTACTTATAAGATGCAGGTTTTTATATCAATTACGTCAATTATATCTCTGTTACGTCTATACTCTGCAAGATAATGGAACGTGTCCTCAATGGCCGACTCCTGTCATACCTTGAAGAAAATGACCTACTTAGCGACCGTCAGTATGGGTTTCGGTATGGTCGTTCTACAGGCGATCTTCTCGTGTATGCCACACACTTATGGAGCGAGGCCATTGAGAAACACGGAGAAGCCCTTGCCGTTTCACTGGACGTATCAAAGGCGTTTGACAGAGTCTGGCACGGCAGCCTAATAAACAAGCTTCCATCTTTTGGAATCCCTGCTGGCTTATGCAAATGGATCTCCGATTTCCTTGTGGGACGATCGGTACCTTTGGGTATGCAGATGACACAACAGTGACAGCCAAATATCTTTCCAGCGCAAAAGCCAGCGGGAGTGAGGTCGAGTCTTGTCGTGAGTCCCTTATCGAACGCTTAAATTTGGCCCTTCAGGATGTCTCTGATTGGGGCGATGCCAATCTGGTCCAATTTAACGCGTCCAAAACACAGGCGTGTCTGTTCTCCGCCAAACGAAGTCCATTTCGTCTGGCTCCAACATTCCGAGGTGTGCCTGTTAAAATCACCGAGCGACTCCAACTTTTGGGTATCGAAATGTCCAGCAATTTGCAATTCGCAAGCGCTTTGCAATGGAGGGAAGTCGAACCTTAATTTCGAACTCCTCCTATTTTCTTCTGATTAATTTCGTTGCGGGTCCAATGACAGTTTAACTTTCCCCCGGGACAAACTTGACCTTCATTGGTTGGGTTTTTGTGGCGGTCAAGCTGTAGATCCTGGCTACACAGGAGTTGCAGTGGTGGGAACGAGAGGTGGGAATAGTCCCGTATGTCCAGCAAGTTGAACTTTGGCGAGTACATCGAATCCATAGCGAAAACTGCTGCCAAAAAACTTGGTATCCTCTCGAGGGCAAGGCAGTACTTCTCCAATAAGCAAAGGCTGCAGTTATTAAAGCACAGATCCGACCTTGCATGGAATACTGCTGCCACCTCTGGGACGGCTCTGCCATGAAATATTTGGCTGCTTTGGATTCGGTGGAAAGGCGTGCCAGGAGACTAATCGACAGCCCGACCCTTGTTGAAGCGTCGCTCCAGGAACTTGACCACCGCCGTAAAGTTGCTTCTCTAACGGTTTTCTACAGGCTACACTTCGGAGAATGTGCGAAGGAATTATACAACTTAATTCCACCAGCCCCTTTCCATGACCGGGGAACCAGACGCAGGCTAGCGTACCATCCCTACATTGTCGACATTCCACCAGCTCGCACTAAGCGTTTCGACGACTCCTTTATAATGCGAACAGCTAGGGACTGGAATTCGCTGCCTGCTGCTGTATTTCCTGAACACTATAATCCGGGCGTTTTCAAGGCGAGAGTGAATAGGCACTTACAGGGCAGATATGTACCATCCTAGACTGCATCTTACTTAACAACAGGTGCGAATACCTGCCTTGTCTAGCATAAAAAGAAAAGATGAGATTTTCTTATTATTGTAAACAATAAGGAAGGACTGAGTCCCGTGCATCTGGCGACTCGTGTTACTTTCCCCCGCGTTGTGGAACCAGTTTTTGCACATAAATTCCGATGTTTAGAGGTGGGCTTTTGGCGTTTCTTTTTTTTCCGCGGATGAGTCAAAGGCTGCGATTTCGTGGGGTCGGTCAACCTGCCTGCGTTATCGGGTCCTTTCTGATGTTTTTTTTAAACCTTATAAAATAATCATAAAGTAACTTATGACAATAGAGGTAACGTTTAGCGAAACGTCTTCCGAGATCGATTGTCTCTGCTAGCTAAATCAGCTACATCTAAATGACGCATTGCTGGAATATTTTCTTCTACCCTCTTTTGTCGACTATGATAAATAATCACACCTTGAATTTCGCTGTTTGATGAACCTTGTTCCATTATCGATGTCAATTATCGTGGTTCCTAATTATTTTGCACACCTAAAATAAGTAATACTCTTACGTTGAAACCTAAGGGATTTGCGCACGTCCTTTGTTCAGGGTTCCTGCGAAAAGCTTAGCCATACCGGACGGAGGCTTTGTTCTTGGTAATTAAAATGCCCAGACGCGCTGATTTATATCGGCGTTACTTCTTACGGCTTACGTCATCTTGCAAATATTTTGAATGACGAGCTTTTCTTGTTTTTTTAGCTCCATGAAACTACTAATGATGTTTTGCTACGTACTTCATAAACGGCTATAATTCTTTCAAGTCATGTCAGATTATTATCAAAAGGTCTACCCACTGCTGCATATTAGTTACACAGTTTTGATGACTTCAGCTTAGTCAACCTAGAATCCAAATGTGAATAGTAGGACACTACCCACATTTGAGATTGATGCTTTCTACCTAAGTAAACAAGTGGAATCGGAAGTATCGTATTGGTCATAAGACATCTAACCGTTTCTTCAAAGAACCAACTTAATTACATGACCAGAAACAGTTTATACAACTCGTACATTCTTCCGGCGTTGCTGCCGCTGATTACGCATAGGCGGTCGATGCATATGGGCAGTTGATTGTTCACATCTGCCTACAAGGGCTTGCATGCTCGTGAGTGGACGCTCCATGTGCGCAGCCTAGATAGCGGGCTGACAATGGCGCCGCGCGCCGATTTGGGTGGGTCGTCGTAAACCCGGAAACATCATTTTGGACGCGTGATTGATTTTTGATTAATTACTGAGAATTGACCTAGCACCCTAAATAACATTTGTGACAAAAGTGGAGGATTTGTGAAGGATATCTGGGCCCCGATTACGCTAATTTTTTTAACGTCTCAAAACTCCACAGACGCGCTTCTTCGATTTCTTCGATTCTGCGATACGGATTGGTCAAAACAGCTGTTAAAAATTAGCGTAATCGGGGCCCTGAATATTAACTAATTCAAAGCATTTTCCCACCTAAGAGACATATAAGGTCCTCGTCAACTGTTCCAACAAAGATTTTGTTAATATTACCTGCTACTATTACGTATTCTGTGATATTACCTTTAAAGCTGTCTATTGACCTCGTGACCGAGTTGAAAAATCATTTTCCCAACCCTAGATGTCGTGAAAGGGTTCATAAACTGGGATTAACCGCAGATATTGCGTTCGGAAGTAATTTCCATCCATTGACTGTTCCA